AAGCCACAAGAGAAAAACACAATCCAATCTTCTGCAGCTATGGCTATGTCCACAATATTAGCATCATTAGATTTTTCATTGAGTCTAATGGGCTTTTTCATTTTCTCAGCCGTGCCAACTCTGACATAAACTCAGATTAGGCTGTCTCACAATTCAGCTATCTCCAACCATTTTAGCTGCTTCAAACTGAGTGACCTTACTTTGTTGCTAACTTAAAAGTTCTACATGCAAGAAGAGTTTGCCATTTGTAAGGGCTCTTGAAGATATATTCAGGAAGTATGCACAAAAGCATACTTAAAAGTGACAGAGATGAAAGATTTTAAACAAGAAAGAAGTAAACTTTAAGATAATCACAGCCCTAACACCTTCACTGAATATGATTATTTGTCTTTGAATGTAGAGCAGTCTTTCCCAAGCTGGCATCCTTTTGATTGGTTAGGACTCTGAGCTTCCAGAAGACCAAGGGGCAGTGTTGGCAATTTTGTAGCCAAAATATCTCAAAGGCATCAGCTCAGGAAAGATAGACTAAGGCAATTAAAAAATAGTTTCTCTTTTCAGTTAATGCTTCATGATTATGGGAAAGAACCATTTAAAATAATTTATAAGTTGATGCAGAAAAGCTAAAGCATCATCTCTGGTATTTCTACCAAACTTAGGAACTCTTGTTCATTATCTGTAAGCTATAAATCAGAGCTGACTTTTACAACCTAGAATTCGTAAGCCAAAATTACTACCAGCCACATTGGCTGGGATTTTTGGAATTACTACCTCACAATGGAAGGGCATCGTGTGGAAGGCTGATTTAGAGCTATTATATAAGTCTTTTTTTTTTTTTACACAGAATGCTAGAAACCTGAATTCCAAGCTTACTTCTCAAGAACATTAGTGACTGTAATCAATTGATTTGATTCAGTCCCCAGCTTGCAATTGAAGATGATTTAGCTCAGCAAAGCTCAGTAAATATTTCATGTTGAGCTTTTGCTCATCTGTTTCATTCCTTAGGAAGGAGGAAGAATGGCTTTGGGGCAGCGAGTGGTGGCAGCCCGTTGAATTTCCACCTAACCCACTCAGAAACTGAGAGGAGTATAAACGGGTCTTGGGATTGGAGAAGAGAAGAGAGGAGAGAGACCACCCCCCCTCGGAATATCCTGAATATCCTGGTGGCTGCAGAGGACCTGGAGGCCTCCTGTGACATTTAATGGAGGCTGGGGTCTGGAAGAACTGAGGAAAATAGGGCTGGTGGGTGACAGAGGGTTTTCCCTCGTTTGGATACCAGCCCTTTTTCCTCCCCCTCCCGGGTACTGTGTCCGCCTAAATGGGTTCATTATTTGCCCTGAGTGAGTCCTCTCTCTCTCCCCCCACCTTTCTTCCCCTTTTCCCTTCTTCCCCCTCCTTTCTTCTCCCTCCCCTTTTTTCATCAGGACTTTTCATCGGGACTTACTCGGATGTGATCTTGAGTGTAAGACTATGCCAAGGATTTTCCATCTTTGCCCCTGAAGTGACTCACTGACTGACTGATAGACTGATAAACTCTTCCTCTGACCATGGGTCAGCCAATTGATGCAACTGTTGAGGGGTCCTTTATTACATCATGAGTCTCGTCTGTCGGAGAAGTTTTTTCGATCTACAGCCCCCTGGGGGCCCTGCCATGAGAGGGCGGGCCGGAGGCCGTTCCCATTGGATGAGATAATCAGGACCCTCCTACTGTCGTGGGAGGACAGTAGAGATACCAATAGTACATCAATGAACAAATGGCTGTGTTACATCTTTTGTGAAGTCCCCTGCTTGAGCTCCGTGCCTCCATCGCTGTATCTTGGAGATGTACACGACAGCGGATCTTCTTGCGCTGCGAGATTCCCCCCTCTCGCAGATGTGGCCCTCCTCACTACCGAGGGCCCACCTCAAGGATGGGTTTTGGGACCCAGAGAGGTGGCATGTGCAAACTAGGGGATTGAGGGGTTTTCTATCGAAATTTTTAGTCAAATTTTTAAGGGGTCCCAGGGAGGGGGAGGGTCAGATTGGAATTCGGGTTGTGGGTATGGGGGATAACCCACAAGGGGGAGGGTCGGGTCTGGCAGTGAAGAGCGGTGTGGGCGGTGGGGGACCCGGGGTCGAGGGGGGGGGGGGTTAGAGCTTGTCCGGATGGTTTTTTGAACATCAGTACTATAGGTGGGAGGGGTAGATATGGCGGGAGCAGGGGGCCATATCGTGTTAGGGGAGTGCGCTCTTCTTGCTCCTCAGGTTGCATAAACCCTCAGGACCCAGGCCTTCGGCTGATGCTGTGCAATGCCAGGTCCGTAGTAAATAAAGCCCCCCTCATCTGTCATCTTGTTCAGGAGGGGGGTGCAGACCTGGCAGGTATTACGGAGACCTGGTTGGGCCAGGAGGGGGGGGGTTCCCCTAGTTGAAATGTACCCGCCAGGTTTCCAAGCATTCCATCAGCCGAGGTCACAGGGGAGGGGAGGGGGGGTGGCGGTTATCATTAAAGAAGGTCTGAGACCGAGGGAGGCCACTGTTCCTCAGACGGACGGCTGTGAATCCCTTTTTGTGAAATGGGGTCATGGGATTCAGATGGGTTTGCTGATCACGTACCTGGCTCCCTGCCACGTGGCAACAGCCCTGCCCGAGCTACTCAACGTCATCGTCGCAGTGGCGGTTGATACCCCTAGGCTTATGGTCATGGGGGATTTCAACCTGCCGTCCGTGGGTGAGACGTCGGAGATGGCTCGGGAGTTCATGGCTTCCATGACAGCTATGGACCTGACCCAGTTAATTCATGGCCCTACCCACACAGGGGGAAACACGCTGGATCTGGTTTTTGTCTCTGGACAGTGGTCGAGGGATCTTGAGATAGGGGATATAGTTACTGAACCCTTGTCATGGTCAGATCACTCTCTCCTTCGTCTCGACTTTCGAACTGCTGCACCCCGCCGCAGGGAGGCGGAGCCGGTAAGATGGTTCCACCCCAGGCGCCTGATGGAACCTGACAGATTCCAGACGGAGCTTGGGCCATTTCCTGAGGTTCTGGCACATGCCTCAACTGGAGACCTGGTGGCCGCCTGGGAGAGGGCGGCTGCTGGAGCTCTGGATCGGGTCGTGCCTTTGCGGCCTCTGACCCGGTGCCGATCTCAATTGGCTCCTTGGTTTACCGAGGAGCTGAGGGAGTTGAAGCGCCGGAAAAGACGCCTAGAGAGTAGTTGGAGGGCCAGTCTTTCTGAATCTGACTGGACACTAGTAAGATCCCACATTAGGAATTACTTAGTGGCGATAAAAGCAGCGAAATGTAGCTATTTTGCTGCTCTTATTGCGTCATCAGATAATCGCCCGGCCGCCCTCTTTAGGGTGACCCGCTCCCTGCTCCATCAGGAAGCGCGGGAGGACCCCTTGGAGGGTAGAGCCGAGGATTTTGTTCAGTATCTGTATGACAAAATCACTCAGATTCGGGAAGATATGGACTCCGACTGGGTAGTCTCAGAGGGAGAGACAGGGGCAGGTCTTGAGAATGTTATCTGGGATGAGTTTGATCCTGTGACCCCTGAGGACGTGGACAGGATTCTGGGTAGACTGAATGCGACCACTTGTTTATTGGATCCGTGTCCTTCCTGGTTAGTACTGGCTTCCCGGGAAGTGACACGAGGCTGGCTCCAGGGGATTATAAACGCTTCGCTGGGTGAGGGTGACTTTCCCGCCGCCTTGAAAGAGGCGATGGTGAGGCCTCTCCTCAAGAAGCCTTCCCTGGACCCGGCAATGTTGGTAAATTATCGTCCGGTCTCCAACCTTCGCTTTGTGGCGAAGGTTGTTGAGAGTGTGGTCGCGCAACAGCTCCCCCAGCACCTGGGGTGGGAGGCACTGTGTTGCGGTGGTTATCCTCCTTTCTCTCTGACCGGTCGCAGTCTGTGTTGACAGGGGGACAGAGGTCGACCCCGAGGCCCCTCATATGTGGGGTGCCGCAAGGGTTGGTCCTCTCGCCTCTCCTGTTCAACATTTATGTGAAGCCGCTGGGCGAGATCATCTGTGGTTTCGGGGTGGAGTACCATCAGTACGCTGACGACACCCAGCTGTACATCTCCACCCCGGATCACCCCAACGATGCCCTTGAAGTGATGTCCCGGTGCCTGGAGGCCGTACGGATCTGGATGGGGAGGAACAGGCTCAACCCATCCAAGACCGAGTGGCTGTGGTTTCCGACGTCCCGATATAGTCAGTTGACGCCATCGCTGACTATTGGGAGCGAATCATTGGCCCCCACGGAGAGGGCTCGCAACTTGGGCGTCCTCCTGGATTCACGGCTGTCTTTAGAAGAGCACTTGACAGCCGTGACCAGGAGGATTTTTCATCAGGTTCGCCTGATTCGCCAGTTGCGTCCCTTTCTGGATCGGGATTCATTACGCACGGTCACTCATGCCCTTGTCACCTCCCGCCTGGACTATTGCAATGCTCTCTACATGGGGCTCCCCTTGAGGAGCACCCGGAGGCTCTAACTGGCGCAGAGTGCGGCCGCGCGGGTGGTAATGGGAGCGACATGGCGTTCCCATGTAACACACCTCCTGCGCGAGCTGCACTGGCTCCCGGTGGTCTTCCGGGTGCGCTTCAAGGTTTTGGTTACCACCTTTAAAGCGCTCCATGGCTTAGGACCTGGGTACTTGCGGGACCGCCTACTACCACCAATAGCCTCCCACCGGCCAGTACGCTCCCATAGAGAGGGGCTCCTCTGGGTGCCATCAGCCAAACAATGCCGACTGGTGGCCCCCAGGGGGACAGCCTTCTCTGTGGGGGCACCTACTATCTGGAACGAGCTCCCTCCAGAGATACGGAGGATCCTGGATCTGCGCACCTTCCGCCGCGCTTTAAAGACCTTACTATTTCACCAGGCGGGCCTGGCCTAATTTTCTCCCTCTTTTATAAAAGATTTTTAATTTTTAAATATCTTTTAGTATTTTATACATTTAATTTTAAATTGGTTTTAAAAGTTTGGGGTTTTAAATTTGTCGGGGCCAAAATTATTTAATTTGATTTTATTCTACTTTTAAATTTTGTATGTATGTGTTTTATTGTTTGGCTGTGCACCGCCCTGAGTCCTTCGGGAGTAGGGCGGTATAGAAATCAAATAAAATCAAATAAATCAAATAAATAAAAAATATTAATAAATATCAAAGCAGCTCTGGGTTATCATTGATCCTGACAGATGAAAACAACCCCACATGTCTCACCAGATTGGGCTCAACCACAAATGCGTGCTCGCCCTTGGTACGCAGCAATGAATAAAGAGCAATATCTTTGGCAAAACCTAGGCGACACTGAACGTCTTTCATGTAACCCAATACACGGTGTGCTGAAGGAGCAGAGAACACCATGGCCGGAGTGCAGCATTCAGTCACAGGCACAATGTTGTAGAAGGATGGCGCCAGGCGTCGAAGCTCCAAGAGATAGTGGCGCCCAACCAGCTCTACTAGCAGCATGCTGTACAGGGCAAAAAACAACACGATGGACCAACTAAGGCTGGAGCGGTTGGATGCCCATGAGTAGACAAAGCCCAAGAAGGATCCTGAAAACATACCTAATCCGAGCCATTCGAGGAGCCTCATGGGTTCTGGATTGATGTAATGTTGAAGTCTCTCTGGATGGTACAGTTTGATATAGAGAGCATCTCGGAGGTGGGGCTTTGAGAATCGTGTCTGTAACAAGTGATGGAGGACTGGAAAGAACTCTTCTTCTGGGAGGGTATCATCTTCCACCAACAGGACATATTCTGGTCCATACAGCTGAAGTGATTTCTCAAGGCAATAGGTGTAATCTTGCTTCTCCTTCTCAAAACGGTTTGGAAAGAGATCCACATTTTCCTGACCACTGTAGTGGTTCACCACAGGAAAGAAAGTAGCCAGCAGCTTAGCATCTTGATGGCTGCTGGGATCTGTTTCCACATTACAGAGTAAGAGCTGATGGTGCTGGCAAGAAGGGCCACATTCCTGGAGCAGACGGTGGAAGCGGGCTGCTACTTGAAGGACATAGTGGAGTTCCGGGCTCCTTTGAACAGTAATGATGGTAATCAGCAACCATGGCTGCAAGGCCTCTTTGGTCAACTTCTCTGATGTATTCCGCAGTCGCTCAAAGTAACGGAGAGCACTCAAACCCTCCTCTTGGTTCTGCTTTAAAAAATGTTGGGTCATTGATTTCAGGTACCAACCACGAATGTAGAAATAAGAATGCAGGAGGTCTCGGCAAGTGAAGGGAGCGATCACACCAAATGTCACAACACTCAAGACAAGGAATTGCAGGAATGGGCTGGAGCAACGGCATAGCCGGCCCCAAGGCAGTAATCTGTGTGAGAACATGGATGCCACATCTGCAGTTCGAGAGTCCTTTGGTTTTTTCCTGCGTGCCATTTGGTCAGCCTCTTGCTTCATGCGGCACACTGTTCAGGGGGCCTTCTAGTAAGGTCATGATTAGATCCAATTCTGTAAAAAGTAAAGAAAAAAATATATATATGGAGATTTCATGCCTGGTGAAAAAGTAGTTGTACTGAAAGCTTTCATTTAAACAATATTTTGCATGATTGCTACTCCCTCTTAGAAATTCATTTTAAACAATGATGACCGGTTCATATCGAGTTGATCTGTTGCAGATTTAATAGGCGCATTCACATGCCATTAAACTGAAATCAAGGTCCATACTATTCCTCCTTCTCCTTTTAATTTGGCTTTAGAACCTCTTGCATTAAGTAGAAATGCTAAAATACTTAATGGAATTGCACTAAGAGACTACTGCGCACAAGGCCTTGCTATAAGCAGAGGATATATTTCACTCATTGAGAATTTCTATTCCTAAACTCATTTCATAAGTTTGGTTTTCCTATCTGATTACTCTGTTAATTGGATAAATTATATTAGATGCTACTGGGCACAACAGTAATTTTGTCACGTACATGGAATGGAATTTTTACATTGTATTTGACTTCTTTATGTAAGTATTTTCAAGAAATTTTCTCAACTAGCAAATATAAAACAAATCCATTGTTTTCATGCAAAGAAATTTCAGATATTTGTTCTCAAATTCCTTTTGAGTATTTGGGATGGGCTAAATGTGATTAACATGAATTAATTCTTAAGGTGCTTGACTCTTTGAGAGGCCTTTCTATGCTTCTTTCTTACATTATTTTTTTACAGGACATTGAATAAATTACTCTAACAAGGTCATTCTGTGAGATTCTCATTGTATAAATTATAATTACCTCTTAGGAATTTAACTTCCCCAATTTTATAGCTAGACATTTATTCTAGATTTGTCACCATTTAGTGTTAGGAACTTTAGTACCATGCTCCTTTTTAACTCATTGCGAGATTTATTATTAGACCCAATTTAAATCCCGTCAAGTATGAGAATATCTTTCTTTGTACTGGGTTCACATGCAATATTTATATTTAATAATTTAATATTTTATATTTAATGTGCATACCGAAAATATTGGGTCACAGATATATAGCTTGATTCTTTTACATATAAAAGGCTCAAACTATGAGAAATCCAGGTTTAAAATAGTGGGCAATTTTATTTGATAGGTAATCTGGGCCTCTCATAATATATGATTACTTTGAATCAATTCAGATATAAGGAACCTCTGCAGTATTAAAAAACAAGCTTGCTTTACCCCAAAACACATCTTGAAGTTTACTCTTGATTCAACTCAAGCTTTTATTATTTAGTCTATTTGATCTAGATGTTACTGCAGGTTCTGGAGTTTTAACAATGGTTGCAAGTTAGAATAGAATAGAATGAGCTGGAAGAGACCTTGGAGGTCTTCTAGTCCAGCCCCCTGCTCAAGCAGAACCTATACCTTTGATGGCGAACCTATGGCACACGTGCCGGAAGTGGCATGCAGAGCCATCTCTCTGGGCACACGGAGCCATCGCCCATTGCTCTTCCAGGTTCCGGCGCACCAACCAGCTGGTCTTCACATACGCAGGAGCACCAGAAACTGAAAGAGCAGTTGCCCGGTGCGCCTGCCGGGAAGATGATCTTTCTGTTTCCAGCATGCGCTTGCGTGCTGGCCACCTGGTCTTGTGGTTTCTGGTGCGCATGCACACACAAAGAACAGTTCATGTGCCCAAAGACGTGGAGACAGGATCCCGGCAGTCGCTTTCTAGAGGAGAGAGCTGTTGGCCAGGACGGGCCAGCCAGGGCTTCCCTCCCTCCCCGCCTGAGCGGGCTTCTTGCATAGCCCCGGCCCTCCAGCCCACGGCGATGTGCATCCGTGGTCTGGAGCGCCTGGCTGGCTCAGGCAACCCAGAAGAGCAGCAGCAGTAGCGCTGCTTGTTCTCAGTGGCAGGCGAGGTGGGGGTGGCAGCTCTCCTCCAGAATCCTGGCCACAAGCGACAGGGTGAGAACCACCACCCCTCACCCGCCAAGAACAAGCAGCGCTGCCCCTGCTACTTCCCTGGGGCTGCACAATGGTTCTCACCCTGCTGCTTGCGCCCGAGATTCTGGAGAAGAACTACCACCCCCACCTCGTCCGCCACTGAGAACAAGCAGCGCTGCCCCTGCTACTTCCCTGGGGCTGTGCAGTGGTTCTTGCGGCCAGGATTCTGGAGGAGAACCACCGCCTCCCCCCAGCCACCGAGAACAAGCAGCGGTGCTACAGTATGAATTCTAACCAAAATTCAATAAAAAAGATGAAACATTCCTAGAAATATTCAATAATAGGTTAAAAGTGGTTTAGAAATAATTTTAAAATTATTTGACATATTATTTTTAATTCTTTAAGCTGTTCATCCGTCCTCATCAGGGTATAAGTTCTAATGAATTGAAAAGAACCTACTTTTAAATATAAAATTCTGCTGTAAAGAACTTTAAATAATAAATACAAAGATTAGTGTAGTACCTAAATATGTGCCATGTTCTATATTTTTCTTTTTAACTTTCTTCAGATAATAAATACTTCTGAATCCTAAGTGTTAATTATGGAAAATGACTAGTTACAAATATACATACATATATAAGTATATACAGAGTAATTCTAAACAGGAAGCAAGCATTAGGGAAGATTGAGAAAAACATAAGGACTACCAATGAAAATGGAACAAGGCAGGCACGGCAGGTAAGCAGTTCAGAAGTATATGTCAGAGACACTGCAGGAAAAATACATAAGTACAATCGCAAGGAAGTCCCCTCAGGATGGGTATAGGAGCAGGAAAATGGGCTGGAAGGAAGGGGCTGCTAATTTGCTTAAACATTAATTTTGTTTTACCTTTATTTTATAGCCCTTCTTGAACTTTTGACAGTTGCAAGCTCTATTTTACCTACCTAGTAAGATAAACTACTAGACTAAGCTAAAGGCCCTCACAAAAGTTTGTCTTGTAACTTAACACAAGTTAAATAGCCTTGGACCAGAGAGCTTATTGTCTACATCAGGAGTAGGCTATACTGATGACATATTTGTACAAGGCAATATAAAAAGGGGAAATTAATGGGGTGTAAAATAATGAACAACAAGAGGAAAGGTCTTTGGGAGAACAGGATATGTTTTCAAGGAAATGTAAATGAGTAGAGAAGAATAATTTATCATGAAAACACATGCTATGTTTGTAATAGTACTAAAGTTTGCAAAGTACAAAGAAGAATGAAACAAGTTGTTTTTTGATTTCTGGGAATTAAAAGCCAGGTGGAAGCCAATATTCCAGAGCAGAAAAGTATCTTCCTGACAGGATTATTGTTTGCATTTTGAATCTGTGTTTTCACCATACTTACATTTGAGCAATTATAACCATCACTTCTTTCTTTATTTTGATTTCACTATTGTACTTTGTTAAAGAAAGTCAATTTTATTTTAAATCTTGGTTCAATTAAACATTCCGATGGCAGGAAAGACATATGGCTTTAATTTCCTTTCAACTGGATTGCAGAAGGCAAATAATGTGAGCTTGGCCCAAGTGGCTGAAGTTTTGTTCTAACATTGTTAAATTCTTCAGCAATATTTCTCAATAATTTTGCCAATAGCAAGTTACTGAATCCTAAAACAACTAAATGTATTTTGATTGCTTTATGTTGGCTGGAAAATCCAAGAAGAGAAATTCCAATATATTTAATACAAGCTTCAGTGGCAAAAACTAAGGATAGAAGGTAGCTTGTTCGGACTGTGTTTTTACCATCAGTACTGTGAGTGGGAGGGGTAGATATGGCGGGAGCAGGGGGCCATATCATGTTAAGGGAGCACGCACCCGCTGTCTCCAAGCGGTAGAGTGCTCCGGCCCCCAAGGCTCTACCCGTTTGCCAGGTTGCACAGATCCTCACGGCCCGGGCCTTCATCTGATGTTGTGCAACGCCAGGTCCGTAGTAAATAAAGCCCCCCTCATCTGTGATCTTGTTCAGGAGGGGGGAGCGGACCTGGCGGGTATTACGGAGACCTGGTTGGGCCCGGAGGGAGGGGTCCCTCTGGTAGAAATGTGCCCACCAGGCTTCCGCGCATTCCATCAGCCGAGGTCACAAGGGAGGGGCGGGGGAGTAGCGGTTATTATTAGAGAAGGCCTTAGGCCCAGGGAGACCACTGTACCTCAGACAGCTGGTTGTGAGTCCCTCCTTGTGAAGTGGGGCCATGGGGTTCAGATGGGTTTGCTGATCACGTACCTGGCTCCCTGCCGCGTGGCAGCAACCCTGCCTGAGCTACTCAACGTTATTGCTGCGGTGGCAGTTGATACCCCCAGACTTATGGTCATGGGGGATTTCAACCTGCCGTCCGTGGGTGAGACGTCTGAGGTGGCTCGGGAGTTCATGGCTTCCATGACGGCCATGGATCTGACCCAACTAATTCATGGCCCTACGCACACTGGGGGAAACACACTGGACTTGCTTTTTGTCTCTGGACAGTGGTTGAGTGATCTTGAGATAGGAGATGTAGTCATCGAGCCCTTGTCATGGTCGGATCACTCTCTCCTTCGCCTTGACCTTCGTACCGCGGCACCCCGCTGCAGGGAGGCGGAACCGATAAGATGGTACCGCCCCAGGCGCCTGATGGAACCCGATAGGTTCCAGACGGAGCTTGGGCCAATTCCTGAGGTTCTGGCTCACGCCTCGACTGGAGACCTAGTGGCCGCCTGGGATAGGGCGGCCGCTGGGGCCCTGGATCGAGTCGTGCCTTTGTGGCCTCTGATCCGGCGCGGATCTCGCCTGGCTCCTTGGTTTACCGAGGAGCTGAGGGAGATGAAACGCCGGAAAAGACGCCTAGAGAGTAGTTGGAGAGCTAGTCTTTCTGAATCGGACCGGACACTGGTTAGATCCCATATTAGGACTTACCTAGTGGCGATAAAAGCAGCAAAATGTATGCATTTTGCTGCTCTTATTGCGTCATCAGATAATCGCCCGGCCGCCCTGTTTAGGGTGACCCGCTCCCTGCTCCACCAGGAAGCGTGGGAGGACCCCTTGGAGGGAAGAGCCGAGGACTTTGTTCAGTATCTGTATGACAAAATCACTCAGATTCGGGAAGGTCTGGACTCTGACTGGGTAGATCCAGCGAGAGTGACGGAGGCAGGTCTTGAGACTGTTATCTGGGATGAGTTTGATCCTGTGACCCCAGATGATGTGGACAGGATTCTGGGTAGATTGAACGCGACCACATGTTTGTTGGACCCGTGTCCCTCCTGGTTAGTGCTGGCTTCCCGGGAGGTGACGCGAGGCTGGCTCCAGGGGATTATAAATGCTTCATTGGGTGAGGGTGTCTTCCCCGCCGCCCTTAAGGAGGCGGTGGTGAGGCCCCTCCTCAAGAAGCCTCCCTGGACCCGGCAATATTGGCTAATTATCGTCCAGTCTCCAACCTTCGTTTTGTGGCGAAGGTTGTTGAGAGTGTGGTTGCGGGACAGCTTCCCCAGTACCTGGATGAAGCGTCGTATCTGGATCCGTTCCAGTCGGGTTTCAGGCCTGGATACAGCACGGAAACGGCATTGGTCGCGTTGGTTGATGATCTCTGGAGGGCTGGGACAGGGGCTGCTCCTCTGTCCTGGTCCTGTTAGATCTCTCAGCGGCTTTTGATACCATCGACCATGGTATCATGCTGCACCGGTTGGAAGAGTTGGGGGTGGGAGGCACCGTACTAAGGTGGTTCTCCTCCTTTCTCTCCGACCGGTCGCAGTCTGTGTTGACAGGGGGGCAGAGGTCGACCCCGAGGCCCCTCATATGTGGGGTGCCGCAGGGATCGATCCTCTCGCTCCTTTTGTTCAACATTTATGTAAAGCCGCTGGGCGAGATCATCCGTGGTTTTGGGGTGAAGTACCATCAGTACGCGGATGACACCCAGCTGTACATCTCCACCCCGGACCACCCCAACGATGCCCTTGAAGTGATGTCCCAGTGCCTGGAGGCCGTACGGATCTGGATGGGGAGGAACAGGCTCAGGCTCAACCCATCCAAGACCGAGTGGCTGTGGTTTCCGACGTCCCGATATAGTCAGCTAATGCCATCGCTGACTATTGGGGGCGAATCATTGGCCCCCACGGATAGGGCTCGCAACTTGGGTGTCCTCCTGGATTCACGGCTGTCGTTAGAAGAGCATGTGACGGCCGTGTCCGGGAGGATTTTTCATCAGGTTCGCCTGATCCGCCAGTTGCGTCCCTATCTAGATCGGGACTCCCTACACACAGTCACTCATGCCCTCGTTACTTCTCGTCTGGATTACTGCAACGCTCTCTACATGGGGCTCCCCTTGAGGTGCACTCGGAGGCTCCAACTGGCGCAGAGTGCGGCCGCGCGGGTGGTGATGGGAGCGACATGGAGTTCCCATGTGACACCTCTCCTGCGCGAGCTGCACTGGCTCCCGGTGGTCTTCCGAGTGCGCTTCAAGGTTCTGGTTATCACCTTCAAAGCGCTCCATGGCTTAGGACCTGGGTACTTACGGGACCGCCTGCTACCACCAATAGCCTCCCACCGGCCAGTACGCTCCCATAGAGAGGGGCTCCTCCGGGTGCCGTCGGCCAAACAATGTCGGCTGTCGGCCCCCAGGGGGAGAGCCTTGTCTGTGGGGGCACCTACGATTTGGAACGAGCTCCCCCTGGAGATACGTAGGATCCCGGATCTGCGCACCTTCCGCCGCGCGCTTAAGACTTTTCTATTTTATCAAGCTGGCCTGGCCTAAATCTTCCCCCTTTTTAAATGTGGAAATTTAAAATTTTTTAAATTTTAAATTCGTCTTTTTATAGGGGTATGGGTAAGGCATTTTAAATTGGGGAGCCATTTTAGATTTAATTCTGTTTTAAACGTATTTTAATTGTTTATATTGTATGTTTTTAACTTTGGCTGTTCACCGCCCCGAGTCCTTCGGGAGAGGGGGCGGTATAAAAATCTAATAAATAAATAAATAAATAAATAAATAAATAAATAAATAATTAACATATATAGGCCAGATTGTGTTATGGTCCAAAACTAATTTTAAGAATGGCCATTGCTAATAATGGAGTTATATAAACTTTTCTGATTTCATTTCCCTCTAATCTCACTCTAAAGATTAAAGTATCATACTATATTCTCTTTTTAACAATAATTTAAACATTACCTAAACTGTGGAGTCATCTCTGACTTTTCAGAGATTTTTCATGGCAATAAAATTATGATTTCCTTTATAGGATTTTGTTCTCTGATATAATGTTGCATTAGAAATCTAATTTGGGGTTCCCACAGTACACTGAATCACAAATAAACCTACCATACTATCTTCTCCTTTCAGACTGTGTGAACCTAATTCACATGCTTATTTTATAGGTGCTGTCTGAACCCAGAATATTGAGCTGAGAAAAACATGGTATATACCATGTCAAATGAATGCATCACAAGCTTCAAACAGTTTGAAAACGATATGCCATAAAAGTTTTCCTACTCTGGCCCACCATTGTTAATAGCATACTGGAATTACTTTCTATTTGTTTTGAAACTTTTAAAAACTGTGTTCAAAAAAAGAATGGAGTCTCACTCTTACATGCTTTTATTCTTTCTCTAAGGTATTCAATTTAAGGGAAAAAAATACATTGTCTATTCTCTCAAGGGCTGGCAAACTTTGTGGCTGATGTGTAAAAACTGTTCAACGGAAATGTGGTATTAGAAGATACGCAGATAACTTCCAGGCTACAAAAATTAATTGGTTAGGTGAAAATATGTAGGCTAGAAAAAGTGAGGTTTTTTGAGAAAAGAATATATACTCAGAAGGGGAAAAACAAAGAATATGAAACCAATGTTTTCTGCATAGGAAAATTAATTTGTTCCAATGCTAATTTGCCCAAAGCAGTGGAAACGCATTGAAGGAACACATCTTTTCCCAAAGACAAAACAGACAAGGGTATGTGCACTTTCCAACCAGTTTTCCAGTTGTTAAGACTTTAAAAAGTGCTGTGGTGATGCCAGTAAGAATGTTAATAAGCCATCATTGTGAATAAATTTCCCTTTATTTTCATCTCTGTATTTAGGAAAGCAAGGAAAAAGTCATTTTTATCCTAAATGTGCAAACTATTTCCCTATTAAAAGAAAAAAGATTTATGCAAATGAACCCTTTACACATCTCTTCCGCCAAAGCATGTACATAATTTATATAATGCATGTATATTCAACTGGTGCCAATGAACAAAACTCATTTCCTTGCATTTCCTGCACTGCTAATGTTACCTGGTACAGTAATGTGAAGCACTTCATCCTGTTCAGAAATGGGAAAGCCTTGTAGATAGATATTTCTGCTACAGGAGTGTCAAACTCGCAGCGTCATATTGTCGTCACATGATGTATCATGACTTTCCCCCCTTCGCTAAACTGGGGTGGGTGTGGCCAGCGCATGATGCATCCAGCCAGTGGGCCGCAAGTTTGACACCCCTGTGCTACAACTATTCTTCTTGCATGAATACTAATGACAACATATCCTACAACCAGTGTGAAATATAAACCGCCTATAAACTGTGCATGCGGATGGAAAACAACAAAAGGTTGACATATGATTCAACTGATGAGGCAGATGTATTCCTTAGACTATACAGATAGCGACCTGTCATGAATAGTGAACATACTAGAAATAGTTTAAAACCTAGTCACACAAAAATGTTAACAGCTATTGATATTAAAAGATTAAAAGAAGGCTAAAGAGAGAGAAAGAGAGAAGTGTTCTTTCATCGTATCTCCCTAGTAACTTTTCATATGCTGCCATATGTCACTCCAGACAAAACAAGCAGCAAATTAGTGCAGTTAGTGTTATTACAGGTCATTCTTGCTTAGTGTCTTGGGCAGTGACCACTTAAATTACAACAGTGAAAAAAAATTTTTGCAACCGATCCTCACATTTACAACCATTGCAACATGCCATGGTAACGTCACCATTCAGGCACTTCACAACTGCCTTGCAACAAGCAGAATTAATAGAGGAGGAAGAAATAAAATTTCAATGGGTTATGCAATCTTCCAGTTAGCAACCAAGTTGCTAGTCCCTATTGCAGTCCCAAAGCATGAACTATATATTCATAAAAATTGTAATTATCTAAAATGTATACATATTACGCAAACATGAATGAAACAGATGTTTGACTCAAACAGGCCCTCCTTCAACTTGTCTTACTGGGAGAAACTGGAAAGCCCAATACTGGCTTTCAACTCTATGTCGCATTTCTCGGAAAGAGGGGAACGGAAAGAAAAATGAATGAAAGAAAGAAAGAAAGAAAGAAAGAAAGAAAGAAAGAAAGGGACTCTCCTCCTTACAGATTTCCTTGAAAAAGGTGTGAGCTACACTTTGTTCCTTCAAGACTGCAATCCTCACCAGCCACCGGGGGCAGCTGAAGCGTGTAAAAGCACTACGAAGCGGTATATAAATCTTAAGCGCTATTGCTACTACCTACCTTTCGAAGGATGGATGCACCCCATACATGCACCTAGCAATCCAATTACATGTGTTCAACATCAGATGCCGTTGAAAAGGCTCTTTGGCTTCACCTTTTGCTCTGCGTCCCCTTGAGGATCCCCGTTTCTAGCTTTGTTTGCAAGGTCTCTCATTGCGACCTTCTCCTATCCTTGCTTAGGCTTACCTGGGCATAGAGAGCAACATGCACACCGCCGCCGCCGCCGCCACCACCACCACCAGACCGCCGCGAAGGAAGCGGAAGGCGGAGATATAAGGAACGGAAGTTACTGGCCGTAGCTCAGCAACCGTAAACAAAAAAGAAAAGGGGGCGGAACCCCGCGGAGGCGCCGCCACAAGTTTTGACAGAAAGAAGCCGATTGGTGGCGAAGCCAAAGCCCCCTGGGGGCGGGGGATGTTCCGTGGATAATTTAACTCTTAGGAGTTGCGGACCTCGAGGGGTGCTGGGAATTGTAGTTTCAAAAGGCACCGCGAAGAGGGAATGGTCGCCACAGCGCCAGCTGGGCCAGCCGAGCTCGCCAAGGACCTCAGCTTTCTTTTTTAAATTTAAACAGCATGTATGTTACCTTTTCCAAAAACTTCTTTAATCAATCAATCAATTATTATTATTAATAATAATAATATACTGAGTTTCATGTTTAATGAATAAAGTAAATAATAATATATACTGAGTTTCATGTTTAATGAATAAATATATAATAATAATAACAATAATAACAATAATAATATACTTTCATGTTTAATGAATAAAGATAATAATAATAATAATAATAATAATAATAATAATAATAATAATAATAATAATAATAATTCCGTACAGAGAACGGCCTTTCGGTGGCAGCAGGGAGCCGGCGAGCTAAATAATCCCTTACTTGCAGCCGTTGAGATGCCTGAATGGCCGTTTCCAAACACCTCGCGCTCCATTCTTTTAAGAATAACAAGAGGTTCCGACTGGTGGAATAATGGTTCAGAATCGCTTGGGGGCGAGAGAGAGAGAGAGAGAGAGAAGACGGGCGGCGTATAAATTTAATAAATAAAAGGAAAGAAGTTAATGAAAACTGAACCCGGAACCTGAGCACCTTCACTCTCTCTCGCCCCCTCTACTGATTGTGAAGCTATGGGTGCGGCAGCCATTTTGCGTCAGGGCAAAAGAGGCCGTTTTAAAGGAGGGGAAGAAGCGAGGCCGGATTGGTCGCTTGGCGTTTTTATCGTCGGCGTACGGTTTCCTGTGGCAATCGTTGTAGGCCGCAGGCTCTGTGGGGGTTGGTGAGCAAGTGCAGAGGCAGAGACCGTATATCGGCGGTCGGGGAGGCCTTCCGTTTTTTGGGGGTGGGGGTGTGTCGCCCTCCTTCTCTCCTGGGACGGCGCCTGGGGAGAAGGGGGCTGAAGAGGCCGGATTCAGCGCTGTCGTAAACCGAGCGGTCTCTTTCTGAGCCTGGGGCTGCCGGGGGATATGGAGGAATGTGTGGGGCTGGAAGAACCGAGGACGTTGGACTTCACACCCAGCGAGCGGTAAACCGTGTGCTGCCCTGGGCGGCTGTTGACAGCTTCGGGCACTGTAGGTGTCTCTCGTTAAGAGTTCCCCTGAGCATGAGCAAAGTTCCCCCCTCCCCCCCCCGCCTTTTCTTTGAGCAAGCAGCATTTAGAAGACAGTGGAGCACCTGTTGTTATATTTTTTTTCCAGTATGTTTTATCGTCCTTGTTTTTTTGCTCCCCAGGGTGCATGCCTCCTTGTTGGTAGATACCTTTTGATCCAGCAAACAACCAAGCACAGGGAGGACCAAGGACTCCATAGTTCAATCCTGAGCTCCAGATATTCTATTGTCATCTTTTAAGTTTTCAGTAAGCGGAACAGCAAAAATGCAAAGATGGCAAAATGGTGGGACAGAGTTACCAAACGAAACATATGACAGGCTAAGGAACAAAGTTTTGATCCAGGGGTGGGATAATACTTTATTCCTTAGCCTGTCATTATGTTTCGTTTGCTAACTCGCCCATACTTCTTGCTGTCTTTGTATTTTGTTCAGTTTACTGAAAGCTAGATGACAATGTAGGTAGTCCTTGACTTACAACTGTTCACATTTATGTTGGTTGCAGTGTCACCTTTTGCAACCTTCTGACAGTCAGTGGGGAAACAATCATGTCACTAATATAACAACTGCAGTGATTCAGTTAACAAATGTGACAAGAAAAGTAATAAAATGGGACAAAGCTCACTCAACAAATTTCTCACTTAGCAACATAAATTTTGGGCTCAATTGTCATAAGTCAAGGACTACCTGTAGAATACCTGTAGCTCAGGATTGAACTATGGAGTCCTTGGTGTTTGAGTTTGGTTGTTTTGCATACAGATGTTTCATTAACCAATTAGGTAACATCATCAGTGCCAGTAAGTATGGTGTTTGCTTTCTGATTATATACTTTAGCTTGCTTTGCCAGTTTTTGGTGGGAGTCTAGTAGGGCAATGAAAAATCTGCAAGCTAACAACCAAGCTCAGAGAGCATTAAAGACTCCATAACCAGATGCAGTTCAGATCCCTGTGTCCTTCAAAATAATTAAATGTAAATGTTCTCAGCTCTGATCCCAGAGCAGCAGATCTCAAATGGGCAAAAAAAGCAGGAAATAACAAATTAAACAAGCATTTTTGAGATCATTTTGTGGATTCTAAGATGGAGAATGATTTTTTCTTTCTTTAACACTAATGAGGCCTTGAGTGCAAAAATTATAATACAGGAGAGGGGATTTGCATGCATTTTGTTTCACATATAATTTGTTGTCTTGTTTAGTTTTTTTTCCTGATTATTGGAAGTATGTCTTAATAAGACAAATGAGAAAAGTTAAAATTCAAATATTTACAATGTTCCTTCTCTTTCTTTCAGGAAGAATAATTGGAGAAGTGGGAACCTCCAGTTTGTAGCTATGTCTGGGATTGGGAACAAACGAGTGGCTGCGGAGACTAGCCCATCAGCTCCTCCAGAGAAGAAGGCAGGAGTTGAGGACTCAGAGACCACTGTAGAGACTATTAAGCTTGGTGGCGTTTCCTCAACGGTTTGTATCTCATGTTGGGTTTTACTTTTTCTGTGGAATGTAATATTATTTTGATTATTATGCTCTCCTGGACTCCCACAGCCACTGGGATGGGTTCTATCACAAAGCTGTGTGGACTTGAGTCTAACTTTCATGGAAGTGATGAACCTGTTTCTAGGGTAGGATGTGGGTGATTAATTGTGAGTCCTTAATCATTCCTTTTCCCTTACATACTAATTTAGGAAGGGGGATATTTGACAAACTTTGTGTGATAACCCCTTTCCTATAGTGTGAAATGTTAATCAGATTTTGATATGTAGATACCTAGCGTTCTCTAGATATTTTGGAATTCAGTAGCAAAGGATTGTGGATACTTTGGTCCAAAAAATGTGGAGACCGTCAGGTTGCTTACTGCTGACTTACCACTTCAGACATACATTGAAATGAATAGTTGTTCTTCCCAAACTTAGATCAACATTGTAATCACTATACCATGTTGGCTGTATTTCAGGAAGAACTGGACATTCGCACACTTCAGACTAAGAACCGAAAACTGGCAGAGATGCTGGACCAACGACAAGTTATTGAAGATGAGCTGCGAGAGCATATAGAGAAGCTGGAAAAGCGTCAAGCCACAGATGATGCTTCGCTACTGATCGTCAACCGCTACTGGAGTCAGGTCTGCTTCATTTTTCTCTTAATGGTCCCATCCCTTTAATTTTGCTTGGCAAACTTTCTTATCAATGAAACATGTCCTCTTTTCAGTTTGATGAAAACATTCGCATCATTTTGAAACGTTATGACTTGGATCAAGGCCTTGGGGATCTCCTGTCAGAGCGAAAAGCTTTGGTGGTACCAGAACCAGAACCTGATTCAGACAGCAACCAAGAGCGTAAAGATGAGCGGGATCGAGGTAAAGTATCTGATACAGGATGGTAGATGTTTTACAGATGCTTATGATCTCATGGTAGTATGAAATAATTTATTTTTTGGATCCAGATTACATCTAGTTATAATTACTTTCTTGCACTATTATAATTTAGGAGAAATATTTGAACCTGCATTCTCCTTTCTGGCTACACTGGCTAGTAGCACTAGTGAGGAAATGGAATCCCAACTACAGGAACGTTTTGAGTCTTCCCGCCGTGCAGTCACACAGATTGTGACAATGTATGATAAACTTCAGGAGAGAGTGGATGTGCTGTCTCAGAAACTGAACAGTGGAGGTATGGCATTTTCTAGAATTTATGGATATACTATATTGCATTTTCAAAACATTTATACTTAGATAACCTTTCAGGGAATATGGGCTAATCTGTTGCTAATCCATTGACTTTACTGCCAATATGACAAATAATGTTTTATAGTAGTTGGTTCTTTTGAAATTCTTTTGAAATTATGCTAAAAATAGATATTTGGCTGGAACTGCAACTGCACATCAAGAGAGTTGCCACAATAGGGCAGACTACGCCTTGTAGTAAACTGGAATTATCTGATAAAATGAATTTTGAATTTGATAAACTATATTAAGGGCACTTTTTGACTCATATTACTAGATTCCCAATTCCCATTACTTCTGGCTGTTGCCCATATTGTCTGAAGATTATCAATCCAACAATGTGTTATCCTTGAGTTCAGTATCTTGTTGGAGCTGGAAATTGAAAGAACAGGCTCTGGTGATTTGCTGCACCTTCCAAATTAAGTGACGTGTCTATTCTCACATGCTTAGGTCCAAACTACTTGCAGGTTAACCTGGTATATAATCCAGTTTGCACTGTAGCTCATCAAAAGGCATCTTTGTAATCTTCCTATCACACATGTGGTAGTATTTGTTTCAGTTGCTTTTTAAATTCGATCCATCTTTCTATTGCTGAATTACATTTGTTTTCTGATTTAGTTGAACTAATAAAATCGGTGAAAAACCTTCATTTTGGTTGCTTTATGTAGATAGTACCAAACATCATTAATATTTCAACTTATTCATGGTAGACTTTTGCTGCTTGAGGTTTGAATCCACAATGGTTATTTATATATTTTATAATTTGTAGTTACTTTATTTTATGTTTGATTTCTTTATTGTACTTAAGTTCTGTGTAATAGGGAGTTCACTACAATGTTATTTATACCATTATAAATATATTTAGAAATATCTGTAAAACTGAAAAGAAATAAACAAAAAGGAAAAGCAATAAAATGCTATAGGAAAGAGAAATCCTAAAATCTTCTGATGTAGTATAGAATCAAAATATACATTAGAGAGCCATTGTGGCACAATGGTTAGAATGCAGTATTGCAGGCTACTTCTGCCAACTGTCAGAAGTTGGATCCTGATCGGCTCAAAGTTGACTTAGTCTTCCATCCTTCTGAGGTCAGTAAAATGAGGACCCAGATTGTTGGGGCAATATGCTGACTCTAAACAGCTTAAGAGAGGGCTGTAACTGTTATGAAGTGTTATATAAATTTAAGTGCTATTAGCACTAGCAATAGCACTTAGACTTATATATTGCTTCACAGTGCTTTACAGCCCTCTCTAAGCAGTTTACAATATCAGCGTATTGCCCCCAACAATCTGGGTCCTAATTTTACCAATCTTGGAAGGCTGAGTCAACTTTGAGATGGTGAGAATCAAACTGCCAAACTGCTGGCAGTCAGCAGAAGAAAGCCTGCAATATTGCCTTCTAACCACTGCGCCACCACGGCTCTATTGCTATACATTGCTTCTTAGATCTATTTTTGGACAATTATTTCCAAATTTTATTGTTGAAATTATTTCCAAATTTTAACAATGAAAGGTATGAAGAATGCAGATATTTTATTAGTTATCCTGTTTTTTGAAACAATCTCTAAAATTATTCAAGATTATTTAGAATTGTTCCCATCATTCTGAAGTCTGTTCTTAAAATCTATAAGGCTAGAAACTTTCTTTAAAAAATAAAAATAATTGGGTTTCTATGAAAAATATAATAATTATTGTGGGTTGTACATTTCTATTTTTAAAAGAAAATATTTAGGGGCCTGATAGCTTCAATACGATAATGTTCATTTTTTCCCTCATCTTCAGATGTATCCCTAATGGAAGAGGCTGTTCAAGAACTGAATTCCTTTCTAGCAAATGAGAACAGAAGGCTGCAGGAATTGGCTGATTTGCTTCAGGAGAAACATCGCTCTATGTCTCAGGAGGTACAAGGAAAGGTTCTATGAAGCCATGTAGCAAAAGTGATGGGACCAGGAAAATTGTGACCTGATTTTGGGGGGCAGAGGAAAAGACATAAAGGAGAAGGACGTTAATTAAGAAGCTGCTGAATCTTACATGTATATTATTTGCTTGGCCTTGTAACCTACACAGTGCAAAATTTGAGGTCTCTAGGAGAAGAATAGGTTGGTGATGTTCAATGAAGGGGGAAACTATAAGCTGTGGAGCCTAAAAGCAGATTGTGAAAAAGAAAACAGAGGAAGCAGAGCTCTCATAGTGCCATCCAGTTATTAAGTGAATAGTATACTTTTATGTGTATCACACCACTAGTAAAGCTGAAACAACATAGAGTGCAATTCATTGTTACGAATCTTATGGGTGCAACTGGTCTTTTCTCATTCATTAGCTACCATGAGAAGTGCAAATAAAATATTTGTTGTTAATTTTAAATTTATGTTTATTGTAAAACTCTGAGACTTTAGAATTCACCAATACACCAAGTTAAATAAATACACTGCTTCTTATATATTGATTGGGGTAGGAGTAGGCTTTTTGAGGTTACTAGAAGTGGGTGCAGATGGCTGCACTCAGACATTCTGTTTGTTCAGATATTATTGGGACAACAGCATCAGTGTCCTCATAATTTTTCTGCTAGGAGCGTGAGCCATAAGATTATGGCTGCTTATCTCTACCAAGTTATAGTTTTACCATACTCTGGCACTTGATATCCATCTCAATTTATTCTCAAATAATTGACAATCTCAGCTATTCAGGTAATAAGGCTTCACACATATTGCTCCCCATTGGTTGCTGTAGGCTTTGTTGAAATTCATGGGTCCTAGAATGGAGAATATGGATGCAGTACAGGTGGTCCTCGACTTACAACAGTTTATTTAGTGACCATTCAAAGTTACAACTGCATTGAAAAAAGCGGTTTATGACCGTTTTTCACACTTAGGACCATTGCAGCATCCCCATGGAAACGTGATCAAAATTCAGCGCTTGGCAAGTGGTTTATATTTATGATGTTTGCAGTGTCCTGGGGTCATGTGATAACCTTTTGCGACCTTCGGATAAGCAAAGTCAATAGGCAATCCAGATTCACTTAACAACCATGTTATTAACTTAACAGATGCAATGTTCCACTTAACAACTGTGGCAAGATAAGCCGTAAAATGGGACAAACTCACTTAACAGATGTTTCACTTAGCTACATAAATTTTGGGCTCCATTGTGGTTGTAACTCGAGGACTACCTGCAATATATGGAGGTGAATTAACCATCAAGCTAGTTTTGGACTGAGGTGCAATATATTGCGGTTAGGGTTACATTCTCTCTAAAAGATCTTAGCCTTAGGTAGTTCTTAGGTAAACCTTGCATTATTCTTGGAGTACAGAGACTATAGCTACTCTGGCTAAGAAAAAGATTCTGGCCACCTTCATTCCTTGCCTTGAATATTGCAACATGGACGATAGGGGGAAGCTTCTGGACAGTATTTAGAAATGAAAGCAAGGTCAAAATGCCATATTGCTCTTTGCAGAGTGCTGTGTTCAGTGTCATTTGTTCTCTGTGAACTGCACTGGTGGCTTCTTGTTTCTCAGGGATGTTCAAGGTGTTAATTCTTGGAACCAGCATTTCTCACTTTTAGTAAACATTTTATTCTGATGCTGTTAGTCTTACTAACAATTAAGTTAGGTTACTTACTTTCAGTTTTCCCTTTTGTGTCTTGCTTTCAGCTATAAAGGCATTTTAAATATTTTTTAATATTCAGTTTAAAAATTGTGAGTCTGTCAAAGCAATGCTTTCTTTTTTGGGGAGAAACATGACATACATTTCTTAAACAGAAAATTAATAAATGAAAAACTTCCGTTCTCCGTTTTAAGTGTGCCTGCAATTTAATTCATTGTTCTGTTATATGAGGACAATCCCATAATTATTAGTCAGCATGAACATTTGCTTCAGAAAAGGTATTCTGTAACTCTGGCATTTTAAAACAGAAATGATTCTCATGTTGTGAAGGTGCCTTTAGAGTTGTGGTTCAACATTGTGGCACAGAAACGAGTTATTCGTAGGATGCATATAGTGTATAGGTTGTAGAATTTGCAGTGACATCCTGAATGGGATAGGCTGTGGGTGCAGTTGGAAGGGAAGAGCAAGGAGGGAAGTTTCATTAGTAGCCTCTGAAGATTCCTTTTTTTGCAAGCATGTGGCAGTGGCATCCTTCGTGAAGGTATAAGTAAAATTTAAGTGTGTAACACGCAGAATGACAAAAGTGAGTAGTTGCTCTCTAGAATAAACACAGGAATCTCATTTAACTTCCATCCCTTCTAATTTCTTTGCCTCAGTTTTCCAAATTACAAGGGAAAGTAGAGACAGCAGAGTCTCGTGTATCTGTGCTAGAAACGACAATTGAAGACTTGCAGTGGGATACGGACAAAATCCGCAAACGAGAACAGCGGTTGAACAGGCACCTGGCAGATGTTCTAGAAAGAGTAAGTAGCAGTCCCAGATTAAAAAATAGGAACATATACGGTAATATTTCTCGGTTAATGTGAAAATGTGGTCATCAGCTTGGACTTTCTTTACTACTTAGGTAGGCATTTTGCATTTCAGTGAAGGTCTCTGAAGTTGCACAGTGATTGTAAAGTATAGCAGTTTTTTTTTTTTTTTTTAAAAAGAGAACTGGAAATCAAATGGATAAAATTGGAGGAAGTATAATATAAAGTGTTAATATACCACTTTTCAGAAATAAAGGCTTCCTACTTTAAATTTCATCTTGGAAAATTGTTTTTGAAAGACGTGGAAACCTCCTTTTGGACAGCTGATGAGGGCTGCTCACTTATTATAAAAAAATTTCCAATAGCTTGTGATAGTGTTTTGAATAGCTTACTGCCTTTCCCTGAAAGAAACAAAATTGTATTAAAGCAATGTATTAATAAAATAAAATAAAATTTTGGAATTTGGCTTGCTTTCACACCTCATTTGAAATTGTTTTGAGTCAGAATAAAGTACATATTTACCGTGGCTAAATATTTCTCTAATCCATTTTTTTGCATTATCTGTATACATTTCCATGAGGGGCAGAAATTATTGCTATTGATAATTTAGTTTCAAAAGTTAAAATGCACATACAGAGAAGCAACCAAAAAGCTTTTTAACCTTTATATATGCAGAGGGAAATCTTAAAACAACAGTTTCAAAAAAGCTGGGGAGACCAAATACATTATCATTTTCTATTTAATGCTGGCAGCGAGGATCAGTCCTTAACTCCAATTGGATAAGTTTTCATTTTGTACAATTTGCAGCTTTGTGAACATTACCCTTGTAATAACAGCTGTTAAATGTTTCAAAACAGATAATCTTAATACATGTTTTTTTAAAATTGTAAATGTTACAGGTAAACTCAAAAGGATACAAGGTATATGGAGCAGGTAGCAGTCTCTATGGAGGTACAATCACAATCAACTCTCGAAAGGTAACTTTTAAGGTTCAGTGGCATAAAGGTAGTGGGGGGGATCAGAGAGTGAGAGCACAAAGCATAGGACGTTACACATTTGTGGTCCTGGTGTTCTTCCATTTTGCAGTTTGAGGAGATGAATGCAGAACTTGAGGAAAACAAGGAGCTTGCCGAAAACCGTTTGAGTGAATTAGAAAAATTGCGTCAGGATCTTGAGGAGGTGACAACTCAGAATGACAAGCTAAAGGTATGAATAAGGCATGTGTTTCCCAAAAGTCTGGAAACTTAAGTTTGAAAGTGTAATTCACTCTCACATCTGCAAGGCTTTAATTTTGGAGTCCATCTAAGAATCAGAATTAGCAGTCAATAGTTCCTGTCTTTGTGTTATTGAATGGACCAGTTTTCCCAGGTGTGTCTTCTGAATGGATGAAGGAATGTATGCAGATATGAAATCTCTGCAGTACTTGGTGGACACTATCAGAAATTTAAGTCAGGAAGACCATTGGTTTTGCTCAGCGTCCTAACCCCAAACCTTTACAGTCTGCTGCTTATTCATCAAAGTATAGTAGTCAGTCTGGATATGTGGAGGAAGACAGACCAATCCAGGAACTGAAAACAGCTCTCTTTCCAAGAAGTGGCTTTGGCCCACAGGAATATCTCTTGGAGCCAAAGGTAGCCCTTTCTAACCACAGCAGCTCCCATAAAAGGCAGATCATTGCATTTGTATAACGAATTTATGTATTTATTAATGACATTTGTATAGCTACCCATCTTAACACCAAATACTGGGTGGCTCACAAACCAGGAATATAAGCAGTAAAACAGGAAACAATAAAACCAAAAACAGAAAAACCTGATTTGCAACCAAACTTCCTCAGTGCAGTCCATAACAATACTTTGGGGAAAAATAAGTTCTTAAGTGCTTTCTGGAAAGTTAAAAGGGTAGGGGCCTGCCAGATCTCAAGAGGAAAAGTGTGAATGATGAATTGTTCCAAGTGTATCCAAAGGATCAGTATGATTAACTTCTTAGTTTACTACAAGAGCCCAAGGTCTGAATAAAACAAGCAGTTTCCTACCTAGCCTGGAGCTTGCTATTTGTCAAAATGAGCATGCTCTAAATGTAGGACAGAGATGCAAAACTTGCATCCATACTGAATTGTAGCCTGCTGGCATCACTTTTGTGATGCCTGAAACCTTCTCATATCTAAGAATGTATTGGTCCTTTTTAAACATTTTAGGAAGCTTTGGTAAGTTTTGTAAAGTCTTAAGTCTAGCAGATTGTTAAGACATCCATTTAATCTCTTAAAAGTTATGAACTCCTCCTTTTCTAGAGAACAGCCCTCAACATGACATACCAAACCTGATATTATTGACCCTTCAAACTGATATAAATTGCAACCTCTCCAGGTCTATGGTATGGGCAGAATTCAACAGATATAAACTGCTTTGATTTATTGTCTTAATTCATTACTTTCTGTTTTTTCTTTAAAAAAAGTATTACAAGAGTGTATAACTCCACATTCTCTATATGCTGCATTGATTTTAATACATTAGTTTAATTGTAATGGGTATAGTTAGGAAGCAGATTTGTCTGATGCAATGCTGCCCCCCTCTGGACTAATAAAGCAAGCTGGAGATATTAGCAACATACTTTGTCTATATCAGTGATGGCTAACTTTTTTGCTGTTGTGTGCCAAAAGTGGGGGTCGCATGGGGGGGATCGCGCGCTTGCATGCCCACACCCATAATTCAATGCGCCCCCCCGCACATGTGACCTCCCCCATGCTCCCCCTGCTTTTGGCACACGATGGCACAGTTGGATCGTTTCTCACCCTCCCCAGGCTCCAGAGGCTTTCTAGGAGCCTGGGGAGGGCAAAAACTACCTTCCCCAACCCCCCCACCCCCGGAGACAGGAAATGGCCTGTTTCCTGACTTCCGGTGGGCCCAGAAGACCCGAAAACCAGCTGGCCAGTGCACACATGCACGCTGGAGCTTAGCTAGGGCAATCCTTACATGCCCACTGATATGGCTCCACGTGTCACAGGTGGCACACGTGCCATAGGTTCGCCATCACGGGTCTATATTATCTTAAATACTACTCTGATATTTATTCCAAAATAGAAACAGATTCCTAATGACAAGATTATTACATACATTATTTAATATATATTTTCTTCATACAGCTGAAAACCAGATAGTTAAGCTTTGAAGCACTCTTCCATCTAGTGCCGTGATGGCGAACTATGACACGTGTGCCACAGGTGGCACATGGAGCCATATCTGTGGGCACACGAGCGTTGCCCTAGCTCAGCTCCAGCATGCATGCGTGCACTGGCCACCTGATTTTTGGCCTTTCTGGACCCACCGGAAGTCAGGAAATGGGCTGTTTCCAGCCTCCGGGGGGGGGGGGGAGCAGTTTTTGCCTTCCCCAGGCTCCTAGAAAGCCTCTGGAGGCTGGGGAGGGTGAGAAACGGGCCTTCTGGGCCCACTGGAAGTGGGGAAATGGGCTGTTTCTGACCTCCAGAGGGCCTCTGGGGGGGGAGCTGTTTTCACCCTCCTCAGGCTCCAAGAAAGCCTCTGGAGCCTGGGGAGGGTGAAAAACGGGCCTACTGGGCCCACCATGCCATCACGTGCCAAAAGTGGGGGGAGCAGGGTGGTCACGCACGCATGTGCAGTGGGGCGGGATGCATTGAATTATGGGTGTGGGTACGCACATGCACAACCCCCCCCCCCGTGTTCCCCCCACTTTTGGCACGCGACAGCAAAAAGGTTAGCCATCACTGATCTAGTCTCTGAAAATCCCCCAGATTTCTTTAGTTTTAACTAGATGGCTGTTGAATTGTCCATCTTCTCATAGTGTCCATCTGCATAGTTCTTTTTACAGAATGCCCAAAATATACATGAGCAAACTTGTATATATGATATCCTAAATATGTTGTGTGTTTTGATTTTACTTGAAAAAATAAAAACACAATCTAAGATATTAAGATCATTCCATTGCTTTAGAGAACTCTTGTCTCTTGAATGTCTCTTGAAATTAGGGACATATTGTAAAACTTATTTTATTGCAAGGAATATGCAGTTGGAATAACATTGATTATCCAGTTGATCAGTTGATTGTCTTGAAACTTTAGCCTTGTTTCAATGCTATAATTGCAACATTTAATAGGTGACATCATTCATGATATAAAATAAAGTCAGGTCTCTATAAAAATCAAGCATTCAGAGCAATGTTGCAGAGGTGGGAATGGCAATGTTGAAAACTAATTGCTCTTGGGGAAAGTACATTGGCATGTCTTTGGGGTGTTATGGTTTCAGCAATGCCATCAAACTGATAAATAACTGGGTTCCAGCATATTTTGTTTGTAGGCAATGATCAGCTGAAGAAACAAAACTAAAGCTGGCATTCTTCATATTGATCAGTGTTCCTCAGCCTGGCAGCCTGAAGATATGTGACTTCAAGTTTCAGACTTCTCCAGCCAACATGCTGGCTGGGGAGTTCTGGGAGTTTGAGTCCACACATTTTCAAATTGCCAAGACTGAGAAAGAATGATATAGACAGTAGTAGGAACCAAGGTTATAAATTTCTTGCAAACCCGTAACTTTCCTTTTTTCTTGGGATTTTCCATGGTATAGATATCAAATTGATTAATAATATAAATCACTTTATATTATTTATATTATATTAAAGGGATGCAGTGGCTCAGTGTTTTTTTTCAATTGCATTTTGTTGCCTTTATTTCTATCAAGTATATATGAATTATTTCTCTTTCCTTTCATGGGCCCAAACAGGTGGATCTAAGGCGGGCAGTGGAAGAGGTAGTGAAGGAAACTCCAGAATACCGTTGCATGCAGTCCCAGTTCTCTGTATTATATAATGAGAGTCTCCAGTTAAAATCACAACTGGATGAAGCCCGCACTTTGCTACATGGTACCCGAAGTACTCACCAGCGCCAGGTGGAACTGATTGAGGTAATGTCTTTCTCCCTTTGTGTCCCTTACTTTGTCCTGAAAATATAAGAAAGTGGGTGTTGTATCTTTTGCAGCTTTGCTCATTCCAGATGTTTTAGACAGTAACTCCTACTAGTCCCAGTTATGTAATATGTGGTTCTTGCTGGCTTGGAACATTTCAATGTGAAAATGTTTTTGCAACACAAACTTTAAAGCCTGTGTTTCAACATCAGGATAATCAGGTGGAGATTGCAAAGACAAAAGCTACTAGTAGATAAATAGCAAGTAACTATTCTGGCCAAAATCCCTCAGAAAGGATTTAGAATAAAAAAAAAAAGTACAGACAGAAATAGATGATATCATATTTTAGTTGTGTTTCAAGTAAACTGCATACTTTCTGCTACTGAAATATCCATTATGGTTATAGAAAATGTATCTACAGTCTTTCTTCATCATGGCAGTATTAATGCAGTAGCCATTGTTTTGCCTTGCCAGCGGGATGAAGTCAGTTTACACAAGAAATTACGAACAGAGGTTATTCAGCTGGAAGACACTCTTGCCCAGGTTCGCAAGGAATATGAGATGTTGCGGATTGAATTTGAACAGACTCTTGCAGCTAATGAACAAGCAGGTAATTCATACCAGGTCTTTCATAGAGATCCTACTTTGTTGATTTTGCAAAACCATTTGCACAAGTGATCTTTTTAAAACTGCATAACTTCACCAATGACATAGCTCTTTATGACAACACTAAAAAGAGCCATTGGTTTTAAAATTTATATGATCTTTTAAGTAAGCCTGAAGTACGATGGCACACAAATCTAATGGATGGGTGGATGGATGTGAGTCATGAGGTTTCCACTTCTATAGCACAGTATTTTTTATCTATTAGCCTGGAGCTTTTTAAGGGCACTTTCTGTGTGTTCTTGCAATTTTTTTTATTCCACCATAGGTCCTTTTGTAATTGGATTGCTAGAATCGCAGGAGCTAAAGCCCTTTATAAGCACCATTTTGAAGGATGGCTGCTACTTGATCATCTGCAAAGTTCTTGTGAATAATATGAATATGACACTCTCTTTGTGTGCAGCATTTCAGTAACTGGAAATGATCAGAGGTCAAAAGGAGAGTCTTTGGTCATTGAGAGGTGACATTTCATTTGTTTTGGAGACTTGTATTAGTCGTCCCTGATATAAATTTTCATTGGTTAAAATTAGTCTAGGAATTAGTCTATTTGAGGAATGGTTATTAATGGCAAAATTGAGGAGAAGTTGATATAACACATCTGTTATGTGTGTGTGTTGTAGGCCCCATCAATCGAGAGATGCGCCACCTCATCAGCAGTCTCCAAAATCATAATCACCAGCTAAAAGGGGAGGTGTTGAGATATAAGCGGAAGCTGAGGGAGGCTCAGTCTGACTTGAGCAAGGTAAGGGAAATGGAAAAATAAAGATTGTCTCAAAAAACTGGAAGCAAAAGGATGTGTGTTAGTTCAGGTTTGAAGAGTATGTGGGATATTGTTTGCATGACCAGCTGTGCTTTTTTAAAGACAGTGCTTGATATTTATCATTTTATAAGTACTCCTATTAGAAATGTTTCTTAACTATTACCCAAATAGTTTTAGTTGCTTTAATTGATCCATTCGGGCTATTTTTACAGAAACGTACAGTAAATGAAATTTACAGTTGAAGAAAAGCAAGTTGTGTGCGGAAAATACTGCAGTCTGGAGATAGATCATAGGAGGTTCTCTTAACTGTTCCAGACCACGTCCAGAACACTACAATACATGGCCTCTTTCAGAAAAAAATGTTTTTAAAGATTGCTGGCCCACCCCCAGAATGTATTATAATGTCTCAGAATTCCACGTAATATTCCATCCTCAAGTTCCAATTTTTTATTAGTTTTAACAAAATATAAAATACAAAGAAAAATGAAAATAGTTGGGAAAGCGGGGAGGAAGAAGGGAAGACAAGTGCAGTATAAAAGGGGAAAAGGAAAGAATAGCATTGCATTGACTTCCTACCCTTTTTAGCACAGTAGAATAAAATAATAATATACAGCCTCAACTTTTTACTTTTCCATAATAATACATACTAGCCATTTCTACAACAACCTATCTAATCAGCAAAACCCAAAGTCGGAGTTTCATTTTTTTTCACCTCAGGCACAAAGTCGAGAAGTGTTTCCAACTGGAAACAAGGTTAGCTGTATTCTTTTGTCAGTCAATTTAGCCATCTCTGCTAATTTCATCAGGTTTTTTTTTCCAGCCAGCCATCTATTGTGGGAATTAAAGTATCTTTCCATTTTTATGCACAGAGCATTCTTGCTCCTATCAATAATGTTACATCTTCAGAGCAGAATATTTGCATGTATCAACTACACAGGGCATGAAGGATAATATACAATGATCTCTATTTTCACATTTGAGTGAATAAAAAAGTGTCTCACCTTACCCCATTTTTAAAACTCTGCTTTGGTGTGTGCTGGTTACCACTGTAAAATGAAGATAAAGAAGAAGAGGTGTTTTTTTGAAAACCCGTATCAAAAGTATTCCTAATAAATTGTTTTTCTACTCCAGACTCGTTCTCGCAGTGGCAGTGCTGTCCTGCACTCCCAATCCAGCACTGAAGATGCCAAGGAGGAACCACCAGAGATCAAACAGGAAGCTGAGGATCCTTCTCATGCTGCAACCTCCAAGGGAGCGTCTGAGGATGCCTTGGAAACTAAATCAAAAAGAGATGAAGAAGAACGGGAGAGGGAAAGACGAGAAAAGGAGCGGGAACGGGAGAAAGAAAAGGAGAAAGAAAAAGAAAGGGAAAGGGAAAAGGAGAAAGAAAGGGAAAGGGAAAAGCAGAAGCAAAAGGAATCTGAGAAGGAGAGAGAATCTACCAAAGAGAAGGACAAAGGGAAACATGATGATGGAAGGAAGAGAGAAGCTGAGTTGGTCAAACAATTGAAAGCAGATCTTAAGTAAGTTGATCTGCATATTTTTTTTCATTGGAGAGTTGTACTGTGATAGCTGAAGATGATTTTTATTTTGTGACATTACTGTGTCCAAAAAAGAGAGAAGAAAAATAACAGAGGGATTGAAGTTGGGTCCTAGATCTTGAAAAGTGTTTTTCATTTTTTAACATTGGGTTAAATTTTGCAGATATTGTCAATTTACAAAGGGGATCACTGGATTTGTGGAAGTCACCTAGGATTGCTTCTAGGCTGGCTGCACCAGTAAAGTGATGAAGCATCTGTGCTAGATGCTCACAGCATTCAGCACCAATTAATAGCCTTTCAGCCATATAAGTTGCAATTTCTAGGCCACTTGCAAAGGGCTGATGATAAGCAATACCATCATATTCCACAGCCAGCATTTTTTCAGTTTTTTTCCTATGAGACACTCACCTTCTTGGAACTTTCACTTAGCAAGAAGTGGTGTTGCAACCTCCAGTTGTGACACTGTCTAGAGTCGAGATCATTTATTGATTTATTCCAGCACAGTTATAGAACAAAATGAATAGCCTTTTTTCCTGTTTTGTCCCCAACATGACTCCTGGGGACAATAAGCCCTAACTTAGTGGGAAGAGTGAGCTGAATTGTTGTTTCCAACTAGACAGTGCTATACAGTTTTACCCTTACAAATTCTGTTTTATTTTCCAATCTACTCAGGAAGGCACAAGAGAGCCAGAAAGAAATGAAGTTGTTGTTAGATATGTACCGCTCTGCCCCCAAAGAGCAGAGAGACAAAGTGCAACTGATGGCTGCTGAAAAGAAGTCTAAAGCTGAGGTAATCATGTTTGATGTGGTCCAAAGTATTTTCTGTTCTAATCTCTCCCATAATATAATGGACACTGATTTTTAAAGCACCATAAAACAATCTGGAAACTTGGAGTCGAATTGGAAGTGATCTCCATTGAATATTTAAAGCCTATCCTTTAATATTTTGTATTTCAAACATTCAGATTCTGCTTGTCAGTTGGAACTGTACCAAGCAGAATCTGAATGCTTGAAATGCAGAATATAAAGGGATAGACTTTAAATATTCAATGGAGATCACTTCTAATTCGACTGCAAGTTTCCAGGTTGCTTTATGATGCTTTAAAAAGTAGTTTGTCTTACAAGTCCATAAAAATGAATCCTTGCCTTTTCCTTGTAATCTAAAAAGACATGGAACAAACAAAGAACAGGAACCAAACAAAGAGAACAGGAAAACAAGAATATTTGGGTATTGGATTTTAGTGACATACTGATCTTATAATGAATACAAAAGAACTTGCCACAAGTCGTCATCTTTTTGTGTCAAAAACTGGAGTGGAATCAGTTCTGGGTTTTTTTTTTTCCCATTTAAACCAGTGATGTGACTCCTCTTCCTCTCTCCAACTGTCACAGTACAGTTCAGTGGGTTGATGCAGTCCTCTTTTTTGTGAAATTTTGTAAGATGGCATTCTGTCTTGTGCTAATTAGCAAATCTATCTAGCCTTCTTTTTACTTCCTCCAAGTAATTCTGAACAACCTTAGGAACCTTTGAGCTATCCTCCTCCTTTACTGTTTGCATATTCATTTTCTATTCCTTCAAAAAAAACCTTTTCTCCTGGACAATTCTGCTTTGTATAGTTGGAAGAGCTAAGACAAAGACTGAAGGAATTGGAGGATAAGGAGAAGAAAGAGAGCAAAAAGATGGCTGATGAGGACGCTCTCCGAAAAATCCGGGCTGTGGAAGAACAAATAGAATACTTGCAGAAGAAACTAGCCATGGCAAAACAGGTAAGAAGTAGTAATGAGATGGTTGAGAGGCAAGTAGGGCTAATAGTCTTATTCCTCAAGGATGCTAAATCTTTGATTTACTCTTAATGACTAGGTAAGAGGTGATTGGAGTTTAGAATGTTGATATTTTTCTCTCTTCTTACTACCACCCCCACCAGATATCCATGTCCAAATGGAGTCATCTACTTCTCTAGGAAAATGCATATTTGTGGTCAATTATATGTATCAGAAAGGTAGAATCCAGGATATATTACATTAGATAATTTATGTTAATTAATAAATTTGTTTAAATTAGATGCCAATAACTAAAAAAAAAATCTAGAAGCTCCCGATAGTTACTTTTTCATAACAAACATATTTACAAACTGATGATACCGTAATGGTGACATGCTTATGATGATGCCAGCGTTCAAATGCTACTGTTACATATTTGAGTCCCGATGTCTGAAGTAAATACATAGATTGCAATATAAAATCTATTTAGTGACTGCCTCATGCAGCAACCTTTCCACTTACGAAGGTGATGAAAAGGTAACTTTGCAGTCAGTCTTTGCCTTTACAACCTTCATAGTGTTGTGGCCTGTCAGTGGCCTGTGCTGATTGTAGCTGATTAAGACAATGAGGAGGCTGGTGTGGTGGACCCATTGGTTATTTGAGTTATTTGAGTAAAATAAGCTTTTTATAGATTTTGTGTCTGCTGCGTTCTTTGGGGTCTGTAGCTGGGGCAGAACACATAGGTCCATAAAGCAAAGGAAAGCCGAAGTAAGATTTTAAGCACAGTTGCTGTTTCACAGTTGCTGTTTCACTTTGCTTAGTGACTTGAGTTGACAGTCCCAATTCTAGCTATTAAAGAATACACTTCCTGTATTTGATTGCATGATGATATTACTCAAAAGTCATCATTTATGTCTCCTCCTGTCAAGCGCTGACAGATTTATCTACTTGTATCATAGTATCCAGGAAAGGTGGAAACCGTTTCCCTCTCAATTGCAGGAGGAAGAAGCCCTGCTATCTGAAATGGATGTGACAGGACAGGCCTTTGAAGACATGCAAGAGCAAAACATCCGCCTGATGCAACAGCTGAGGGAAAAAGATGACGCCAACTTCAAGCTCATGTCGGAACGCATCAAATCCAACCAGATCCATAAGCTATTAAAAGAGGAAAAGGAAGAGCTGGCAGACCAGGTTCTTACCCTGAAGACACAGGCAAGTGGGGAAAATGAGAAGAGGAGCGAAATAGGAACCCAGAAGTCTAACTTCTTTGACCAAGACATAAGTTGAAAGGTGCAGTTGTTGTCATCAATGAGAGACTGCATCTTAAGACTGGGTTTTGTGTACATCTTTACCACAATTTTCTATCTATCTATCTATCTATCTATCTATCTATCTATCTATCTATCTATCTATCTATCTATCTATCAGACTTATATGTCGCCCTTTCTCCACAAGGACTCAGGGCGGCTCACAGCAATAAAGCAACAACAAGTCCAGATTAAAATTCAAACGATAAAAGAATCTAAAATGCCCATTAAAACCCCTTCAGTCCAGGTCAGCCTGGCGAAACAACCATGTTTTAAGGTGACGGCGGAAGGAGCGAAGGTCGGGGGCCACCCGGAGCTCCAAGGGGAGCTGATTCCAAAGGGTAGGTGCGCCTACAGAGAAGGCTCGCTCTCTAGGGGCCGTCAGCCGACATTGCTTGGCCAACGGGACCCCAAATAGGCCCTCTCTGTGTGAGCGCACGGGGTGATGGGGAGCTGTTGCTGGCCGCAGGTGATCCGCCAGATACCCCGGGCCTAAGCCATGTAGGACTTTATAAGTAATCACCAACACCTTGAACCTCACCCGGAGGGCAACCGGTAGCCAATGCAGGTCACGCAGGAGGGGTGTGACATGGGAGTGTCGGGACGCTCCCATCACTACCCACACAGCTGCATTCTGCACCAGCTGAAGCCTCCAAGTGGTTTTCAAGGGTAGCCCCATGTAGAGAGCGTTGCAATAGTCGATCCGGGAGGTGACGAGTGCATGGGTGACCGTGCATAAGGCATCTCGGTCCAGGTAGGGGCGCAACTGGCGCACCTGGGCAAATGCGAATCTGGGCAAATGCCCCCTGGTCACGGTCGTAACATGGTCTTCTAAGATCAACCGTGCATCCAGGAGGACGCCTAAGTTTCGCGCCCTATCCACAGGGGCAACACCTCTTCCCCTATGACCAAAGATGGAATATTCCCTTGGAACCGAGACGCTGATACCTACAGCCACTCGGTCTTGGCAGGGTTGAGTCGGAGCCTGTTCCTCCCCATCCAGAGCCGCACCGCCTCCAGGCATCGGGACATCACGTTGAGGGCATCACTGGGCTGATTCGGGGTGGATATAAAAAGTTGGGTATCATCAGCATGAAGAAACCACGGCAAAACCACGGATGATCTCCCCCAGCGGCTTCATATAGATGTTAAACAGCAGGGAAGAGAGAACTGACCCCTGGGGAACCCCACATGTGAGGGGCCTCGGGGTCGACTTCTGCCCCCCCGCCAACACCACTTGCGAGCATCCAGTGAGGTAGGAGGAGAACCACCATAAAACAGTGCCTCCCAACCCCTCGAGGCGCCGCAGCAAGATACCATGGTCGATGGTATCAAAAGCTGTTGGGAGATCTAACAGGACCAGGGCCGAGGAATATCCTCTGTCCCTAGCCTTCCAGAGATCAGTTTTGAGCAGTTTGGTGGTCATATGGCATCTTTTTACATAGGGGCAGACAACCTATAACTACGAGTGACTTCAGCCCCATTTTGAGACATTCCTTCAAATGTCAAGCTGCCAACATTTGGGGGAAATGTTTGATTTTTAGTGGCATGGGTTTTTTTGCTTCACGTTCCCCAGATAAATGCATTAAGTCTCCAGAATACCCTTAATGCAGCTATTCTGAGTAGTCACTCAAAAAAGGGCTACAGGTTTCAACCCTACTCATTCAGGTGATATCCCTGTATTAATGACTTGCCCCTTGTATACCGCAGAAGCCATATTTTTTTAAAGGGAGGGGGGATTTCAATTCATCCCTATTCTGAAGCAATAATAGATTTTTGATCCAGGCATGGTCTTTGCAGAGGAATGCTAGGAAGATGAAGAAAGAAACTTTACTATTTAGAGGGAAGCAGGATATTAGGTGGATTTGGGGGCAACAGTTTGAAAAGTGCAAACATGCAAGTCATATCTCGGGATTTTGGGGGGTAACGCTTTCTTAATACCATAAAGAATATTGAATTACATGATTTGGGCCATAGGCATGAAAGTCTAAATTAGCCATTTGAAAAAGTTCTTGTGTTTTGGAGACATAATTTCCATAGTTGCCTTACGGTTTTGTCACAATGTATTTGGTAGACTAAAATCTGAAATACATTATTTAAGCATATGGAATGCAGAATGTGGTGTTAAGCGTAGACATTGATTCCTGAAGCAATAGCAATAGCACTTAGACTTATATACCGCTTCACAGTGTTTTACAGCCCTCTTAAGTGCTTTCACAGAGTCAGCATATTGCCCCCAACAATCTGGGTCCACATTTTACCGACCTTGGAAGGATGGAAGGCTGAGTCAACCTTGAGCCAGTGAGAATCGAACTGCCGAATTGCTGGCAGCCGGCAGGCAGCAGAAGTAGCCTGCAGTACTGCATTCTATCCACTGCACCACTGCGGCTCAGCATCTTTTAATTTGTAGCCCTGCTTAGAAGTAGGTGAGCTATGACTGCTTGACATTTCAGGATCCATTAAAGGGAAGATTTCCATTGGCTGTACTAACTTTCTCATTCCATATTGGGCAAAAAGCACAATCCCTATTATAAAACAAGAAGAACTGTACAGTTTACTTAAAGGTTCCAATCCTAAGAGACAGAACCGTAAATAAGTTGACCAAATGCAAAATCCTAAATCGAATGCTTCCCTCTTCCTTGTTTTTGCCTCTTGAAGGTGGATGCCCAGCTGCAAGTTGTGCGCAAGCTGGAGGAGAAAGAGCATCTGCTACAAAACAACATTGGCACTGGAGAAAAGGAGCTGGGCCTGCGAACCCAGGCCCTGGAGATGAACAAGCGGAAAGTAAGTAGATATATACAGGTAGTCCTTGACTTACAACAGTTCACTTAATGACCGTTCGAAGTTACAACAACACTGAAAAAAGTGACTTCTAACCATTTTTCACACTTATGACTGTGGCAGCATCCCCATGGTCACATGATCAAAATTCAGACACTTGGGAACTGACTCACATTTATGATAGTTGCTGTGTCCCGGGGTCATGTGATCACCAGTGGCAACCTCCTGACAAGCAAAGTCAGTGGGGAAACCAGGTTCACATAACAATGGTGTTACAATTTAATAACCGCAGTGATTCATTTAACAAATGTGGCAAGAGAAGTCGTAAAATGGGGCAAAACTCACTTAACAAATTTCTCACTTAGCAACACATTTTGGGCTCAATTGTAGTCATAAGTGTGTGTGTGTGTGTGTGTATAATGAAATTAAAATCCCGTGGGAAAAGTTCCTCGTTTTTTTACATTTGTGAAGGAGACTTTAAAAAAAATAAAAGAAACGGGACTCAAACTAAGTTGTATAATAAAAACAGGAATAGATCCACAAATGCAGATATGTATAATATGTAAGTGGGGCAAAAAAGTATTTAGTCAGCCACCAATTGTGCAAGTTCTCCCATTTAAAAAGATGAGAGAGGCTTGTAATTTCATAGGTAGACCTCCACTATGAGAGACAAAATGAGACAACAAATCCAGACAAACACATTGTCTGATTTGGAAAGACTTTATTTGCAAATTATGGTTGAAAATAAGTATTTGGTCAATATCAAAAGTTCATCTCAATACTTTGTTATATATCCTTTGTTGGCAATGACAGAGGTCAAACTTTTTCTGTAAGTCTTCACAAGGTTGGCACACACTGTTGCTGGTATGTTGGCCCATTCTTCCATGCAGATCTCCTCTAGAGCAGTGATGTTTTGGGACTGTCACTGGGCAACACGGACTTTCAACTCCCTCCAAAGGTTTTCTATGGGGTTGAGATCTGGAGACTGGCTAGGCCACTCCAGGACCTTGAAATGCTTCTTACGAAGCCACTCCTTCATTGCCCGGGTGGTGTGTTTGGGATCATTGTCATGCTGAAAGACCTGGCCACGTTTCATCTTCAATGCCCTTGCTGATGGAAGGAGGTTTGCACTCAAAATCTCACAATACATGGCCCCATTCATTCTTTCCTGTACACGGATCAGTCGTCCTGGTCCCTTTGCAGAGAAACAGCCCCAAAGCATGATGTTGCCACCCACATGCTTCAAAGTAGGTATGGTGTTTTTTGGATGCAACTCAGCATTCTCTCTCCTCTAAACACGACGAGTTGTGTTTCTACCAAACAGTTCTACTTTGGTTTCATCTGACCATATGACATTCTCCCAATCCTCTTCTGGATCATCCAAATGCTCTCTAGCAAACTTCAGATGGGCCCGGACGTGAACTGGCTTAAGCAGGGGGATACATCTGGCACTGCAGGATCTGAGTCCCTGGCGGCATAGTGTGTTACTGATGGTAGCCTTTGTTACGTTGGTCCCAGCTCTCTGCAGGTCATTCACTAGGTCCCTCCGTGTGGTTCTGAGATTTTTGCTCACCGTTCTTGTGATCATTTTGACCCCACGGGGTGAATCTTGCGTGGAGCCCCAGATCGAGGGAGATTATCAGTGGTCTTGTATGTCTTCCATTTTCTAATTATTGCTCCCACAGTTGATTTCTTCACACCAAGCTGCTTGCCTATTGCAGATTCAGTCTTCCCAGTCTGATGCAGGTCTACAATTTTGTTTCTGGTGTCCTTCGACAGCTCTTTGGTCTTCACCATAGTGGAGTTTGGAGTGTGACTGTTTGAGGTTGTGGACAGGTGTCTTTTATACTGATAACAAGTTCAAACAAGTGCCATTAATACAGGTAATGAGTGGAGACAGAGGAGCCTCTTAAAGAAGAAGTTACAGGTCTGTGAGAGCCAGAAATCTTGCTTGTTTGTAGGTGACCAAATACTTATTTTCCACCATAATTTGCAAATAAATTCTTTCCAAATCAGACAATGTGATTGTCTGGATTTGTTTTCTCATTTTGTCTCTCATAGTGGAGGTCTACTTATGATGACAATTACAGGCCTCTCTCATCTTTTTAAGTGGGAGAACTTGCACAATTGGTGGCTGACTAAATACTTTTTTGCCCCACTATATACATTTATACATACTGTATTATGCATTTTTATGTATAATAGAAATAGGAATAGATCCACAAATATTATGTGTTAAGAGCAGTGGCACCATGATAAATACTATCCTGGCTTCCTCTTCCTTGTGCCTAATCAGTTCTCTAAAGAAAGATATTCTTGGGTGTAACCCAATGCTGTCAAACTTGTGGCCCATGGCTCGGGTGCATCACGCGCTGGCCATGCCTAGTTTAGCAAAGGGAAAAAAGTTGTGATACGTCATGTGACAACACTGATAACGTGAGTTTGACACCCCTAGTGTAACCTGACCAAAATCTACATGGAATTCCATCCTGAACTGGCTTCTGTCAATCAGCCTTATGCTAAATAAGAATCACATGGAAGATACTTAATCTGGTCATTATAGAAACAAGCAGTCACTTTGAATTTCCCTCCTAGAAGTTGCTCCTATTTCCTTAGACACCCTTCAGTTAAGTAGTTTTAAGTGATTATTGTAGGATAAAGACCATGCTATTCCAGGGCAATGAAACTGGAAAAGATTCCATTCTTCACAGCTGTAAACTCTGAACTTGGATTCTCATATGCTCAATCTGAAGGCTCTTAAAATTAATCCTGTGAATGTTAAGCAAGCCAGATAGTCCTCACTTAGCAACCCTTGGAATTTCCGTTGTTAAGCATAATGGTCATTAGGCGAAGCATCACATAACAGTATCACTTAGCAAGGCCAGGTCTAGTAGTCCTGCTTTTGTCACTAGGTGAGGACTGCCCCATCATTAGATAAGGACCTTGCACTTCTGCCCTGCAACAACTGCCAGCTCTATCCTGCTGCTTCCTTCCCAGCTGGACCCAGCGAGTTGCCTTTGGCAGAGGCTCCACTGACCTGCTGGGCTCACCTCCATTTCAACTTCCCCCATTACAACTTGTGCGCTTCAACCACCACTGCCTGTCTCCCATCTCTGCCTTTTTGGCTGTCATGTCCTCTGCTGCTGCCATTTAAATGATCACCCCAGCCAACTATGTTATCTTCTTCCTCTTGCTGCTGTCAAAAGTGCGCCTAGTGTCAACAAAGGGCCAGCAGTTGTCGGCGGAGTCCACGGAGGCAGGGGCATCAGGAGTGGTGGATTGCAGGGTGGCAAAAGGGCAGACATGAGGTGGTGGGAGAAGATATGCAGATAGGAACTGAAGTGCATGCTGAGGTTGTAAATGTGGCTGGACTGCCAAGTGCCTGTTGATCATATGACTGTGTGGGTGCTGTGATGACTAACTTCAAGGGTTAGTCATGACTATCATTTGTTCGGCACCGTTACAATTTGGAATGGTCACTGAATATGGATCCTCAAGCTAAGACTATATATATCTATTTATGAAATATGCACCAAGAGGGTGAGTGGAATGTAGTGACAGCTGCAAACGTCTCTATTTTAGAAACAGATAGGTTCCCTAGATGACTGGAAATTTTTATTGAAAGCCTGAGAGACTTAGGTTGGCCCCCAAAATGAAAAACAGCTATTCCGATTGTGTGAATCCTTTCAAATGTGTTTCTCCATAGGGACAGATAGCTAGATCAGATAAATTTCTCTCTCCTAAGAAGAGAAATCGCAAATGATTCTATAATTAGGAGAAAAAGCAATGCTACAAAGTGATTTCATGGACAAAAGGAAGCAAGAGTGAGGGGAAAAAATTGAACTTCAAAAAAAATTAATAGAGTAGTCTGATGTAAATAATTAGAAGGTTTGAAGGTTTCCAGCAAAAAATGGTTGTGAGGATAAATGAAAAGCAGAATGAACTGGGGGTGGGGGCTAAATGTCATAAGAAGAGAGTTTGATAATAATGTTTTGAGATTTTGATTATTGCATTGTTACACATGCAGAAAAGAATAGGACTGCAACGTATAATTTTGTGTCAACCAAAGTTCTGTGTCTTCAATTCTTAGATGAGAATGAGCTGCAGGTCCCATTGACCAGACATCTAGGGCTGCCTTAATTTGTAGATCAGCAATTAGTTGAGCATTTGAGTGAACCTTAGCCCAAGAATTTTGGATCTCTCCTCTCTGGCCATTTCTGGACAACACATTAACATTGCTGACAAAAACAGCAGTCTCTGAGACAAAAGACTGAACAGTCCCTTTTAACTGGTGCAGGTTTTTTTTTTTTTTTTTTTGGAGAAGCAATCCTTTTTCTTTTCTCCTGGCCTTCAGTCTAAATCCTCCAGCACTGAATTTTCAAAAGCAGGGGAGGGTGGAATCTCTGAGGCCTGCAGAGAACACCAGAAGATAGGAATGATGTTGGCTCTATAGATCACTGGGGATGGGGGAATTTTCTCTGCCAGGTTTCATTTCTGTATGGTAGATCACAGGGGAATTTATTTTCTCACTCTACCCTCTCTTTAATTAGTGTGCCAAGGCAGCTTGTAAAAAGCTAAAAATCAGTTTCAGGTTTTAAAAAAAAACCAATAAAATACCACAGTATAAAAATAATTTTTCAGAAGGAAGAAGCAAAAGTAATTATAATAATTAAAGGGGGAACAAAGCATTGTGCAGTATTTTAAAAGCCTAGGAAACTGGGCAAAGGCATTTGCAGTGAGATGAAAATAAGGTAGGTGTTAGGTTGTCTTCTTGGCTAGAGCTTTCCATAAAGATTTCCTAACTGGCTTTTGGTATAGGATAAGGAGATGGGATTTAGAATGTATTTGTATATATTTTGGACTGATTCTTCTCCCCCATCATTCCCCCCAATTCCCTCTCCCTTACCTAACATATTCCATTTAATCCCATTCCATTCCCCTCCTCCCTTCCTGGACTTTCAGCAATATTTCCATGTTTATCTGCAGAATAAGCTAGTAGAATGGGCTGGGGACCATCAAACCAAAGAAACAGGCTCACCCACATGTTCTGTAGAGTTAGATTTGAGAAACAAATCAACTTGTTTTTGCAGTCAGAACTGGTACAGGTCCCCTAGTCCCCTCATTTTCTTTTGATACTGCTGTAATCTTCAAGCAAAAGGCCATTGGGCTCTCAAATAGATGTTTTGTCCTACGCCAAGGAGGCCCTGTTATTTACCCTACAATAGTCACTACTGGAAGTAGTGACTATTGTAGGTAAGTGCTGAACCCCTCCCTCCCTCCCTCCTTTCTGTTTTTCTCCAGAAAAAAGTTGACATACATTCCCAAAGCAATAAGATGAAACTTCTGATTTAACATTTAGAGTGCTGCTATCTCTTGTGTTAATTTCAATAAGTGGAATGGGGAAACATTACGGTTTTGTTTTTTAGGCTATGGATGCTGCTCAGCTAGCTGATGACCTTCGGGCCCAATTGGAGCTGGCTCAGAAGAAATTGCATGACTTCCAGGATGAGATTGTGGAAAATAGTGTAACAAAGGAAAAAGACATGTTCAATTTCAAACGAGCCCAGGTAACTGGCATGCAGTCCTTTGCTTGGCTAGCTACCTCTCACAATTTGTCTTTATTTCCAGTTTCACTAATTCAGATTATATGGCTGCCTCTTGTTTTCTGACAGTGTTTTGGCTCCTGTAGTTTGATAGCTTGGTCACTGTTACATGGCTCACTTTCAGTTGTTTCCGCTGTTGCTTTTGTTAGTTGTCAATGCTGGCACTGAACACTGGAGCTCCTACAATTCACATATCAATTTTAATTCAGTTTTGAGTTCCAAGAGAGTTCTCCAAGGCTCTAATAATAATGGAAGAACTACAGCTTTCTCATTTTCATAATAACTTAAAATAGATCGATGAATTTTTCTAATTCATGTGAAACTCTGTAGGGCGGTAAAAGCCAAAATGTAGGTGTTTATGAACCTTTTACCAGATTTATTTCCATTACAATGGGAACCTGCCATCTGAAAGGCAAGAAGATAACAGGCCTACCCGACTAATATTTTTTCCTGTAGGAGGATATTTCACGGCTACGAAGAAAACTGGAGACAACTAAGAAACCAGACATGATTCCCAACTGTGATGAGATCCTCATGGAGGAGATCAAAGACTATAAGGTAGATCATTTATTTATTTATTTTATTTTATTTGAGGCCTATAGACTCTTGGGTGTGGTGGGTTTGGGCATATCTTTGTAGGTTTGGAGAAAGATAGAAAATGCTACTAGTTGGGGCTGCCTCATTTGGGAAGTATATTATGTAAGCAGAACTTTTAAAATGTCCTTTTATGGAAGGAAAGAGAACTCTCACCTTTCCAGGATGAAGAATTTTCTCCCTCATGGACTAAAAGGGGAGGATTTGTCTGTTAAACATCTGCTCCTAAACTCTGCCCTGTTTTTCCCAAAGGCTCGCCTGACCTGCCCCTGCTGCAACATGCGGAAGAAGGATGCTGTGCTCACCAAATGCTTTCACGTCTTTTGTTTTGAATGTGTGAAGACTCGCTATGACACTCGGCAGCGCAAATGTCCCAAGTGCAATGCTGCATTTGGAGCCAATGACTTCCATCGGATCTACATTGGTTGATATGTCCAGATATGTATGTCCAGAGGATCTCCGCTGTCCACTCCCATACCTGCCATTCTTCAGCAGGCTGGATACTGCTTATTGCCAGCTAGGTTTCCCCCTATTTTGACTTCTTTGTAAAGGAACATCTTGGTTTATTCTTTTTGTGTATGTGTTCTTTTTGTTTTTCTCTTCACTTTTTTTAAAGTACTGCCAATTCCCAAGCCAGTTCTCACTTGTCTTGTTAAATACACTTTTTGTGGGGCCCAGATAGTCAATTGGTCCCTGATTCATCAGTGTTGACATCATTTGGCTTGGAACTAAACAAGGCAACAACATTTAAACTGGGAAATCCATTTGGGATAGCTCAGTTGGCTTTCTCATGATTTTTAAGCTAATTGTTTCTCTGTTTTGGATAAAAGAGGAAACTCTTCTTTCTAGTTATCGCATTTCCCAGTTTAATGTCTGCTTGTGTGTGTGGAATGCTGCAGTCTACAGAAGGCATTCCTACTTCTGAAGAAAGAAGACAGCAGTGCACCCATCCTATTTCAAACTGAACTTTTAACTCATGTTTTCTGAAAATTGCCAACAAAGTACATCTTGGAAGTTGAGGCATTGAGAAAATGGTGACCTTCACTATATTTCATCTCTTCATCATATGTAATCTGTTCTGATAATGCAGAAACACAATACTTTGTCTCATCCATAATTTTGGATCCGATTACATCATGATGCCGTTTTAAGAAAAGGCCACTTTTTTGACACATTGCTTGGAGAATTTTTAATACTAAGGGTAAGCACAAATGGTAGCAGTTGGCAGCATTTGGCCATTGCTTTCTTGCAGCCAATCTATTGCATAAATAGGAACTGGATCGCACTCAAATGCATGAGCCTGATTCGCTTTGAACATTTTTTGTGCAGTGAAGGAAGCAATTCTGGACCAGAGCTAGGTTTTAGAGACCACTGTTTCAGGGAAGTCACCTCCTTTTGGTTGGCCAGAGAATTGTCAATGGCCCAGGGTTTATTGGCTGCTACTGTCTCTTTTGCTATGAAAATGAGATTTTCATAGGCATTTTTTCAAAGGGCATTCATTGTCTTCAATAAATTGCCATGGTTCTCTCTTGTTTTTGCTTTGTGGGATTGGATATTTTTTTTTTTTTTTTTGCCCTCATTCTTGCGAACAGCCTGAGTCTGTAAATTGATCTTAGATATGGACAGTTTGGGATTTTGATGTTTGTATATCCATGTACATAGTGTAGCTAAAGAGCTATTATGTAAGAGCTAAACTAAAGGATGAGAGCCCAGTATGATTTTGCACTTTTTGAATGGAATGGTGGGAAATGGGAATAGAAATGTCTGGCTTTGGGAGGCAACCCATTCCCGTTCTGGAGTATACCAGGATATGTCAGAATCTGTCCATTTGGTTTAGTCATTGAGAGGGGCCTTCTGAAATTTCCCTCCCCTTGAGAGGTCCACAAGGCAGGAGTGAGACAGCAGAACTTCTTTGGTATAGTCCTCACTTTGTGGAATACTCCCCCCCCCCCTTCCCCCAAAAGTACAGCCTCTACTTGCTGCAGTCCTGGAAATAGATTTAAACTATTTTCATTTTAACATAGTTTTGATTCCTGCTGATTAAAATTGTGGGCACATTTCTTGGGTTTTCTTTGGGGCTTATATTTGCTCATTGTAATATTGGGAGGGAGTTGTTGTTATTCCAGTTCACTCATTTATTATTATGTTCTTGGCTTTCTTCTCATTGACGTGGTATGCTCACAATATCCTGTGGGATTGGAATGAGTTAATAAATTCAGTGAAATCCATAAACAACTACATTCCCTCCCTTGATCACCTACCAATAAAACTCCCTAGACTTTCAGCCTAGACCCAAAAGACTTTGGGTCTTTTCCCAGGAATGCTAAAGGTGGGGATGGGAATGATTTGACTCTCATTCCTGTTCCTATTGGTATACTCCCTCCACCAAATTTAGGCAAAATACACTGATTTCAGGTTGAGGATGTACTTAGATGCAATATATAATAAGAAAATAGCTATTGAAACATGGTATTTTGCTATTGAATTTCAACAAGACCATCTTAGGGTGCTAGGATATACATACAAGCTGCAAGATGCCCACTTAGTAGAGAATCATCTCTGAATAAATGTTTTTGCTTCTGACAAGATTGAAGGGTTTTTATTTTCTGGGTATGCAGTCCTTGAGGTGATACTGTCCAAATGAACCAGTAATTGATTTAATGTATGGTAATTTCATATCCCTAAAACAAGATGGATTGATGACATCAGCAAGTATTGCAGGCCCAATTGGCAAAAAAGCTCAGGACCATATTGGATGGAAACATACAGAAGAGGCCTTCATCCTGCAGTGGATAGACAATGTCTAAAATGATGACAAATCTCATATATTCTGCTGGAGCAGTGTGATGGCCTAGAGATGGGGCTCTCGCTTCACAATCAGGAGGCTATGAGTTTGTTCCTAGGTAATGGCAGATATTTCTCTCTCTGGGCACAATTAGTAATTGTCTGCTGTGAACTCCACGTAGGTGTCAGGAAGGGCATCTGGCCAGTAAATGCTCAGCTCCATTCAGTCGTCCCGATTCAACCCTGATGAATAGGATTACAGAGTCATTAAAAGAAAAAAAAATCATATTCTGCTGAAACATTGTTTCACATAGAAGGCTGATTCTGTGATGAAGTCCATTTTATCCATGGATTAACTGGTAAAAATGAAGGTGGGGAAAGAAAAAGAACAGTTATACCGTACAGGGAAGAATAAAAATGAAGATAACAAAAAAGCCCCGGCTAGGCATGAGTTATCTTGAAGAGTTAAAATTGACTAGGCAAGCAGCCATCCCAATTATGGTTAGTTTTTAAGAATCAAGATTTTGCAACAGGAATGTCTTTTTCCACCTATTTGTTTTTATCAGTTTCTGTCTCTGAATGAGAGTTGATTCTCTCCATCCCCCACATTTACAGATAATTCATGGAAAACAGTCTTCGTATTGGGCAAATAAAACATAACTCGTCTCCACAGTGTTAGTTTGCATTTTGTCATCCAACCAGCTTGTCAGCTAGATCCCAACTGTGAAGCAAATCAACAAGCCTGAACAAGTAGTATTAAAATTTATTTAAAACCAAAATAAAACAAAAAACCAGCACATTCCCCAACCAGAATTTTCATTCAGAAAAGGCAATGGCTAGGGCAACTTACAGAAGTCAAGGAAAGACTTCACTCATTGACACCGAATCAAAGGTATAAGATGTATTGTAGTGTTGACTTTCCCTTAGATATTTGAAGATGCCAATGAAATACTTAAGGAAAGAGAGGAGCTTCTTAATTGGATAAAATCACTGGTGACCTAGTGAGTAGAGAGACATTAGTCAGGCATTAGGCATCTAGACTTAATTAGCACATTTTGTTGGTGGATTACTGTACTGCATTTGCTACACAAAAACTGTTGGCAGTTTTTAGGGGCAAATCCCCATTATGGGTCTCTGTTCATATTCTCACATAGGAATTATCTTGGATGCAAAAGCTAAATCTATGTGGCATGTCTATAGGCTATGTTTTCTCAATCTTTGATTGGCAGAAAAACTTGAAAGTGAACCGGTCAAATTATACAAGGCCCTAGTATATACATTACTTTGATTTGACTTGCCTCTTCTGTCACTACTCCTGTGCCAATCAACATAATGTAATACATACTCTGGATCTGATTACGTTGGATTTCATAGTTATATTCCTTAGCAGCAGCCCCCTCTGTACAGGGTGAGCATCATCAGCTCGATATATAACTATGTATGAGGCCCCAGTGTTGACAGAAGAAAAAAAAAAACCATATTGCTTGGAATAATATGAAATCATCTTTGAGACCAAGATTATGTCATTTAGACTAGCTTATAAATTGGACCATACTGACAATGATTGTGTGTGTGTGTGTGTGTGTGTGTGTGTGTGTGTGTGTGTGTGTGTGTGTGTAGGCAGGGTGGTTTAGGGGAATGAGAGACAGAATGATAATGTCAATAGGCTGTACACCATACATTGTTGCACCCACTGCTTGTATAGCACCCGCATGAAGTATACACATTTAACAATTGGAGAGCAAGCCATCATCACTGGCAAGTTACACAACACACTTCACTGAAGGATACCACCGAGCTTCAAAAAACATTTAGCCACTAGAGTTAGTTTTGGACTAATGAGGGACCAGAGTTTCCCCACCACCAGCCTAAAATGATAAGTTCTCAGAACATGACATGGAATATTTATATATATAAATAAGACTCTGGTAATAGAAAAACACTTTAAAGAATATTTTAACTGGTAGTTTTAAAATTTCTCCTTTGACATTTAAAAAATGAGCTCAGGCCATCTATCCTGTCAAGGGCAACCAGAGGATTATTTTGTGAAGCAAAGTCTTGGTAAAAGGTCTAGTCTGAAAAAAGTGGCAAAATAGTAGAACTTTGTCCAAAGAATATGTAAGTAGTCCTTGTTTAGTGACCAAAATGGAAATGAGCAACTTTGTTGCAGTTGCTGTAAAGAACAAGAAAGAAAAAGTGTGAAAAGCAAAACTTCCTTTTTCAAACTTTCTTTCCCTTTTCACACTTTCATGCTGGTTTTTTTATTTTGCTATTTGAATTTTTCATGGTTTTAACATTTGCTTTTATACTTTTTCATTCTTAACAAGATTATATGCAAAGCTGGGGTTATTAGGCAGTAAATCACATGATTGTGACAGATATACGACTGCACATTCGCTTTGGTCATTAAGCGAAATATCTTGTGACCGTGACTTTTGATTGTATTTCCACGTTCTCTATTCACTCTGCTTGTCGCAAACTAATTGTGAAGCACAGAAGTGGCAATTATGTGACTACAGGATGCTGAAACGGTTGTAAAATGTGAGGAGACAGGAAAGCATTTTGAATGCTTTGCCAAGTATAAAATTTTCTATAAACACTCAACACATTAAAGCAAAATGTTTTACAATTCAAGGCTTGCTTATTTGTTTGTTTTAAGTGAACCACTCAAAAAAAAAAATACAGCCCTACTCTGTTTTGTAACTTAAATGAAAGAATCTTAAAATACTACCTTTGAACAAAATTAAGAGTGCGTATCTACAACATCTGCCGAGGGTGGCTGTAGAATTATTTTATGTAGTAGAGAAAGTTGGGTGGACTTTACTTTGGCAATTCTGAGAACGGAAATAGCAAAGAATATAAGATGGTACCTGTCAGTGAGAAGCAATCTGCACATATTATCAAAAAATAATATGGTCAGAGTGCTGGGCTATACCAGTAAACTTGGAGACAAGAAGACATATTTTGAGTACATCCCCATATAAAAGATACTTGGTATGTGGTTACATAATGCCTTGGAACAGCAAAAGTTTGAACCAAAACCAGTCTACTTTTGTTTTTAATGTGGATGGACATTCAGAACACAATCTTCCTTGTTTGTCTTCAGAAGGGACAGAATTCCATATGTTCCTACCTCAACCCCCAATTTTTGAAAGCTATCCTGAGGATTTCCTTCCAAACGTGGTATCATTTTTCAATAATAGATAGTTAAGAATGGGGTATAATTAAAACCCTTTCCTAATGTGTTTAATCTTTGCATCTGATTTTGTAGGGAATATCTGTACTCCCCTTGTGCCAATTGCAGAGAAGGCCAGTATCCACAGGACCCTCGGAGCCCACAGTTTGAGACACAACGATATAGGTTTAAAAACTCTGAACAGCAAAATCCATGCAGAGAACAATTCTGAACAATCTTTGAAAGGCTTTTGCTCTTTTGTTTTAATTAATGCAGAGAAAAAAAAACCCTAAAAAGTGGAAAAATTCATTTAATTCTAGTGAGAAAGAAAATAGGTGCTGTGTGGTCTGGAGGCTTCAAATTCCTGTAGCCTGAGATCAACCCTTTTCTACTAGGCTAAAACTTCCCACAGAGAAGGACCTGTTGGTACTTTGAAGTATTCCGGTAACCAGAATGCGGCCATCTTTTGGTAGTGTCGCTTTTGCAGGAAGGCAGGAGCTACTGTAGATCTATTGCTTGCTGACTGTGGCGCCACTTCTTAGCATTACACAAAAACAAAGCCCAAAGGTGAGGGTGTAGTACAAATTATTACAGTCCGAGATGGAACGAGGGTGAACTCTCTCAAAGCTCCACAGTTCTATTTGTCCTCTGAAATTCCTCCAGCTCCAGTTTTCTGCTCACCGCTAACTGCAGTTCCTGCTTGATCACTTCGATCTGCTTCTCCAGTTCTGAGAGTTCCTGGATCACTGAGGTCCTAGCAGCGTTCAGAGCGTCTGCTTTCCCATTGGTAGTCCCTGGAGAGTCTCTTTTCAAGGGGGGAAAAGCGGTATCATGCTGTAGTTGTTTGAGCATCACTTCACTCGGCTTTTCAATACTGCAGACGTATTTCCTTCTGTGGCAGTTGCCAGGGCTAGCGGTGTTCCAGACAGAAACCTGGCTGTTCCTGGGACTGGACCTGCAGGAGGATGTTCACACAAGGAATTAGGAACTCATCATATATATGTATGTACATAGTGAGGCAAACTAGGAAAAGGAAACTCTATGAACCCCACAACTTCTTAGGCCTATCTTTCCAGCTTCCCCTCTAGCTATGTTTCTTTATTCTATTGTCGTTTTGAATTACTAACAGATTAACAGAGTTGGAAGGGACCTTATAGGTCATCTAGTCCAACCCCCCGCTCAAGCAGGAGACCCTACACCATTTCTGACAAATGGCAGTCCAATCTTTTCTTGAAAGTCTCAAGTGATGAAGCTCCCACAACTTCCGAAGGAAAGCTGTTCCATTGGTTGATTGCTTGTGAGCTTCTCTAATTGGATCCAACCCCATGTCCCAACTTAAGTCCAGCATATTTTCAGGCTGGCCAAACAACAGAACAATCACAAATCTATGGCTGTTTTATGAATAATCCTCCTGATTGGACAAAAACTTTATCTAGCCCAATATTTTGCTTTCCAAAATACTCCCCAGAAGCTTCCAAGAAGTCTTCTAGCAGCTTATGGAAACTAAGGGCCTGTATTTTTGCTCTTTGTCTTTCGTAACTGATGCAAGTGGTTACATTACAAAGAATCTGGCCACTGTTTTAATTTGCAAAGACAGGCAAGAAGAATGATAGAAACGTTCAGCTGGAACAAGCCTTGAAGAAAACTTGTCTTCCAGAGGTCCCTGAGCTATATCTTCATCAGTAGGGTTAGCTGGAAATTGCACACAATCTCTGGAAATCTATGGAAAGCCATGATTTCCCCAACCTGTGTTGTAGTTTTGTGGCTAGACTAGGATGAGGCAGGTTTCAAGTATTTTTAATTTAAAAGCTACATCTGATGTTATTTTTTTCTTTATAGAAGGAATTTTGTCTTTTTATTTTGAATGTTTTAAAAAGCAGCGCATCTCTACATGTATAGTATCGGGAAAAACAGTTTCAGTACTGATTGAAGACGGTATAATGGTTGTGTAGCTCAGGGACAGCAATTTTGTTTCAGCGTTTCTCATTTCTGTCTTTCATACAATTACCTAAAAGCATCGATCAGAGTTATTGAGGAGCAGAAGGTCATTCTTTACATTGTTTAACTGCAATGATTTGCTATTTCTATATCTGTGGTTTTGGCAACTTGACTGCAGTTTGATTGAATAGGTATCCATCATAGAAATACAACATGGGAGACATGTTTCCATACTGGTGCTCAACCCTTCTTTCTCCAGGGTTCCTGGCCCCAACATTTCAAATCAAATATTTATTTTTTATCAAAAACCATTTAGAAAGTCACACTCACCCAGGGATTTAGTTCTATCAGATTTCTAAAAATTCCTTTATGACCAGACTAGGTTTATTACAAGGGGCATGAGAAAAGCCAACAAAGAAGGATGTCTGGAAAAATACAGGCAGGCATGGGTGTTATTATTTGTGTCACAAATAATATCAGGAAGCTAAAAGCACATCTGTCAAAGCTGATGTAGCGTTGCAAAGTTTGCTTGTGAATTGGCTTCAGAGAGAAATTCCATAATGGAGTAAGCAACACAATGGCACTATAGATAAGAATGTCAGATAAATTGTAAACTGGCTTTGAAGAGGCAAAGTCTAGTGGTGAAGGCTCCATGCTAGAAAGTGGGACTGTGACTTCTAGTACTGCCTTAAGTATGAAAGTATCTTTGGGCCAGTCACTCTCTCTCAGCCCAATCTACCTCAACAGGATTGTTGTGGGGAAAATAAGAGAAAGGGGTATGTTTGCCACCTTGAGCTATTTATAAAAATAATAAAGGTGTGACATCATATCATATCACAACATAACAACATAACAACACCCCTGTGTACTAAGAAAAAGCTCAAAGGGAAATGGAATTATCAGACCGAGAGGTATCTTTATCTATCTGTCATAATGCCCTGAACACTCTGCAACCCCTAACATATTATTCCTAAATGACTATGGTTTCAAAGTTTGTGCCTGAATACAATGTGTTAGACCAGTTTAAAAAAAAAAAAAAATCCTGGCAACTTTAAGATATGTAGATTTCAACCCACAGAATTCCCCAGCCAGCCATATGGATTAGAGAACTCTGGGAGTTGAAGTCCACATATCTTAAAGACGCCAAGATTGAGAAACATTGTGTTAGACAATACTAAATCAGTTAATAGGGGAAGAAATATTAACTCAGGGAAAGGATATATAGTTAAAGTCATTCTTTCAATATCGTTGAAGTGGATCTTTCTGATGTATGACTCTCTTGACCCCAAATAGATAAAATTTTGTACTTTCCTACAATATTTCACTGTCTTATACAATGCAGGTGAAGTGGATCTGTCTGATATGTGATTCTCTTGACTCCCAAATAAATAAAACTTTCCACTTTTCTACAATGTGTCGACTGCATTATACATCGTGTGACTACATTATACAATTCTTGTCCTTTAAAACAAAACAAAACAATATCTGGGGAATCTTTATCTACAGATGCATCAGCAAACAAGAGATTAAAAACTCATTTTTCTTACTTCTTTTCAACTGGCTTTGTTTTAAGCTGGTGCTTGTCTTCCGTAAATGAGTTGTTTAGAGCGCGGTGCAGTCGCTAGAGGAAAAACCCAAAATAAATTAATCAGAAGGGAAATTGTCCTTGCATTTTAGGTAGATTGAACATAAAACAGGGACCCTGGAGGGAATGCAGTATGGAAATAAAACTGTTTGCCTAATTTATCATTGTTATTGAATGTTGTATCTTTATGACAAGTCCAAGTTTCAGCTCCTCATATTTGCTAATACTGCACTTTAGTGAAGGACTAGAGAATAGATGGTTGCATGCAGATTCAATCCAGAAGTTTCCTAGGACAGAGCTGGGGGAGGCAGAGGCAGAGTTAGAGTTTCAGCCATACAGCCAGAAGTGTTGCCAGGCAAGGTAACCAACTGGAGGCAAAATGGGCCAATAGGCTGATTAAATATACCAATTCTGTGTTTTAGATCAGAAATGGGAAATGTATGACCATTACGATGTTAACTACATGGTGTCTACAGACAAAATAGGGAAAGGCTGTAGGAAAGGCTGTAGGGCTGCAGGTTCCCAATCCAGATGACCCAGGGACTGATTGTAATAAGAATATCCTTTCATGACTGATACAAAGAAGCTTTAGAGAATAATCATATTGCAAGTGCAAGTATTTCTTCTTCCATATCATGAAGAGCATGGAAAAGAGAGGAGTCAACCCAGAAGAACATTATGTCATTCTTCAGAAGAAATTTATGTCATTTTTCTTTTTTATTCAATACATGTTAAAATGTGCACAGAAAACAAAATGATGAATAGCTAAAAAGGATAAAGCAAGGAGGGATCCAAGTATGGTTTGTGTTTCTTGAGTAGCAATGACTAAGGCACAAAAAGCTCACCAACAATATTTCATCATTACTGAGAGCTTAGATTGTGGAGTGAGGGACCACATGTAGATAGAGATTAAGAAAAGTTCAGCGGACAATTCTGCATGACAAATCAACCCGCAAGATTGATGTGATGTCTCTATGTTGTGTCTGTAGCTCATGCTGTGCATGGAACAGGAAATTTACCATAGAGATGTTGATCCTCATGGTGAACATCAGCTATAGGGCATCTTGAAAGCTTGAAAATGTCAATCTGAAGTTCTATACTGAATGCATAAACTTATGATAATATTCATGAATTGGTGCCCTTTCCATTTTAAGGTATATTATTTATAATATGAAAACAGATTAAAAGTTTTGTTCCTTCTGTTCACGTTGGAGAAATAGAAATATGTTACTGTAATAAAATGGGTGTAATACAGTTGGCATGCAGCTTTTGAGACATTGTGGTTGAAATCCAGAAAATATTGTGATATCTGTAATTGTTAGATACTGCAAGTAATCAGAAAACTTCTTAGGAAAATCAAAACTAAAGATGTATGATTTTTCTGCATTAGTTTGCGCAACACTGTTAACAATCAAGGAGCTGCAAATTTCTTGAGAAAGTTCCTTTGCCTGTGAATTGTATGATATCTGAGTCACTTTTCCTAGAACTACATTATGTATTTTTCTCAACAAAGTAGGATAATTTTTAAATAGTATTATTATTTTTGTTTTTTCCAGAGTCAGATGCATTAAAAAAATAGAAAGAAAGAAAGAAAGAAAAAGAAAAAAAGAAAGAAAACAATTATCCCAGATTTTGCTTCTTAATCACAGTTGGGATATGATAAGATCTCAAGAAGAGGCCTGGAAATGCCATGTATTGAATCCAATACTTTCAACAGGACTTCGGTTCCAGCCAATGCAGAATCTGATCATTCCCTTTGAGAGACTTACTTAGGCATATGTACCTGACTTGTATGGAGCCAATATGTCATCTTGGATTTCTTTTTAATTCGTGGTATCATCAGTCTGTATATGATATGTTCTCCAATGGTCGTGAGAATAGACAAACCAAATCCAACACACAACATCACAAATAGTCCGGAAAAGTGCTTGATGCCCATTTGCAGGGTCTGTTAGAAAAAAAAAAAAAAAAGGAAATCCATGTACACATTTATAAAATGGGAACACACATGGGGCAAAATCGACAATTATTTTTATACAACCGTTCCACTTGATTTTCTTCCCAGGAAATGGACTCCAGTCCATTTGATGCCATATAATGGGCTGTAGCCAAAAATGAAAATGTGCAGATTCGCCATGATGCAAGAGAGTTTTAGTTGCATGAGACATGGAATTAAACTTGGCTCTTCCAAGTTACTGGGGCCCAACCTATTGGCAGAGGGTTCAAACATAAAGTTGCATACTCAGTGATAAGGCCTAGCTGCCTTTGGACTGACTAAGTAGAAGGGAGAGATGGCTGTAAACTGCTTGCAATTTTAAGTACAGGTACTCTTTGATTTGCGACTGGTTCAAAGTTCTGATGGATCTACCTCAGGGATATTTATGACCCAGATTTAAAGATCTGACAGCTGAATTCTCCCATAGTCACAGGACTGCAGGTTGGATATTTGACAATCATATTTATGGTCATTTGCATCCCGTGGTCACTTGATTGCATTTTACAATAGTTTTGCAGAAAACCAGCCCATAGAAAACCATTGGTTCACTTAATGACTGTGGAATTTGCTTACTGACCAAGGTGATTCACTTAATAACCTGCTGTAAAATAGGTTGCATAATTGGGTCAGCTATGTGACCAACCATCTTTACAACTGTCGTAAGTTACAACTGTGATGGATGAGTTCCATTACAGTTGTAACTCAAGGACTCCCTGCAACTCACAATATCCTGAAGCATCACTACTCTGAACATTATGAGACTTTACTCTGAGGAGAAAGTTAACCCACCAGCAGAAGTTAATGATTTCAAGAGGAATGCTGATATCAAAGAGCTCATCAGTGGTAGTAAGGAATGGTAAGGACTCCTTACTAGCATTGATGGTGTTACTGTACCTAGTTTGGGCAATGAAAGGCCTGCAACAAAACAAGCAAGCTCAGAGAACAGCAAGGACCCTTAATTTCAACTCTGAGGTCCAAATATTCTCCTTTATCCTTTATTGACATGTCCTGAGATAGCTTGAGACCTTTTGGGTGAGTTCAGCAATCTCTCACTCAATTGTGCTTGAAAAATTTCTTTTTTCCAAGATGGCTACTTTGAGATCGGTAATGGGGGGTAAATGCTTTACATTGCCCTTGATTTGAATCCCAATGCCAAACTTGATCCATCAATTCTTTTACAGAAGCCTTGCCCAGTGTATCATACTGAGAACCCAAAGGTTGTCAGCAGATGATAGTGTTTATCACATAAGAGGAGGAGCGTGAGAAGCACCTCTAATCTTGTGCCTGTACTTATTGTGGCCTGTAATAATACTGTTGGTATAGGCATGGAGGCAAAACAGACATCTGAGTTTGTTTCAGGGTTTGGTTTCCATGTTAGCATCATTGTTCAGTTATTTCTTGTTTCTTGTTGGAAACCTCTCCAGTTGAGTGGTTGCCTGTATGCAAGGATGGCCTGCCAGAAATTATGACAAATGTTTGTGAAAAATGAGGAAACATTAGTTTCATACGAATGTTTGAATTAGATCAGCTAAATATAGAACATAGAACAGTGATGGCAAACTTTTTTGCCATCGCGTGCCAAAAGCGGGGGCAGTGCAGGGGGGATTGTGTGCGTGCATGCCCACACCTATAATGCAATACCCCCAGCGCACCACACCCTGCGATGTCCCGCCCGGAGGCTTTCCTGGAGTCTGGGGAGGGCGAACACAGCCCATTTCTGGACTTCCGGAAGGCCCATTTTTCACCCTCCCAGAGCCTCCATGTGAGCCCTGTACTTACCTGGCATCCAAAACATGCCATGTGGAGATTCCTGGGAGGGAGGGGTGGTGTGGGCGTGCCCAGCCAAAAATCAGGTGGCCGGCATGTGCAATGCGTAGTGAAGGCAACCTAGGGCAATGGCTTGTGTGCCCGCAGAGATGGCTCTGCGTGCCATCTGTGGCATGCGTGCCATAGGTTCGCCATCCTGGACATCCAACTCAAGGCAGGAGATCTTATACCAACCCAGTCAAATGGTTGTCTGGTCTATATTTGAAAACCTCCAGTGACAGAGCACCCACAATTCCAGGAGGCAAACTATTCCATGGATTAATTGTTCACATTTTCAGAAAATTTCTTCTTACTTCTAAGTTGGATTTCTCTTTAACAAGCTTCTACCCGTTAGTTATTGGCCTGCTCTCTGGTGCTTTGGAGAATAAGTCAAACCCCTCTTCTCTAACAGCTCCTCACGTACTGGAAAACAATTCTCATGTTCCCCTCTAATCCTTCTCTTTGATAGGCTAGAGGTTAGGCAGCCTGAGCTATGGAGATAAGATGAAGGCAGTATCGATAGAAACAGCTAATGAAGCAGCTCTGAGTTGCAATTAGAGGGATGTACAGATGAACCCCAGGAGAATTAACCCATCAAATAGTACTTCTATAAGTCAGCTGTTGCAAAAAGGTGGCAAAATGCTTTACAGAATTCCTGGCTTTATCTTATTTTATACAACATGAGATAATTCCATGCCAAATTATTCCCAAAAGTTTGTTTAAACCACCACCACCTCCTCCTCCTCCTCCTCCTCCTCCTCCTCCTCCTCCTCCTTCTACCATATCTGTCATTGGACGTTGGCAATCATGTTGGCAATCCTATTTTTGTCAACAGTTGCATGAAAAAGTGCTGCTGAGTTTTGTCCAAACCAGTCCCTTAGGTTTTGAAGCCATAATGTTCTTCTTCTGCCTGGACCTCGTTTGCCTTCAATCTTTCCCTGGAGGATTAAGTGAAGGATGCCGTATTTTTCTGGGTCTCGTACCACATGTCCAAAATATTCTAACGTTCACTTTTTAATGGCTTTGATGATTTCCCTTTGCTTTCCCAGACGGCTTATCACCTCCTCTTTTGTGATTTTGTTAACCCAGTTTACACGTAACAGCCGTCTGTAAATCCACATTTCAAATGCTTCTAGTTTCTTCAAGTGATTTTCTGTCAGAGACCAACTCTCTACTCCGTAGAGCAGGATAGAAAACATGTAACATCTGACAAGCCTGATTTTCAGTCTTAGGTTTATGTTGTGACTGTAGAAAACCTTTTTCATTTTGAAGAATGCTGTTCGAGCTTTCTCTATCCTTGTCTTTACTTCACTGATCACATCCCAGCTTTCGTGTAAATTAAAACCGAGGTATGTGATCCTTTCAACTTTTTCTAGTAGTATTCCCTCCAAATTTATCAGTGGTAAATTAATTGGTTGTTTGATGATGACCATGATGTTTTTGAGGTGTTAAGCTTCAAGCCATATTTTTCAGATATTTCTGAGGCTCTCTTGATGAGGAGCTGAAGGTCTTCATGCTTACTGGCAAGCAGAACTGTATCATCAGCATATCTTAAATTGTTGATCTGAACACCGTTTACTTTGAGGCCAGCATCAATGTTTTCCAGTGCTTCGTTGAAAATTGACTCAGAGTAAAACATGCAGGACAAAAATGAGATTTGGATCAGAACTGGGAAAAGAGGGCTAAATCTTTCCCATTTCAGAAACATCATCTGGAGACTTATCCAGTGGTGGGATTCAGCCAGTTCGCACCTATTCGGGAGAACCGGTTGTTAACTTTCTAAGCAGTTCGGAGAATCGGTTGTTGGAAGAAATCTTATTTTGTTTTTTTCCACTTTACAGGGCTAATCCTGTAAGGAAGGCAGGAAGGAAACATTCTGGTGTTGTTTCTAGCCTAATCTTTATTGCCCTGTTTACAGAAACTGCCTCTCTGGTTAACCCTTATTACATTGTAACAGCTAAGTCATTACAAGTTGAGTGATATTAAGTTGACCATGCCCACACGGTCATATGACGACTGAGCCACGCCTACCCAGTGGTCATTAGGACAGAGAACCGGTTGTTAAATTATTTGAATCCCACCACTGGACTTATCCACAATATAGAGCCAAAGAACTTGAATTTTGTCTATTTTAACTTAGTCCAAATATGCAAGGAAAACATTATTAGGTGACAAAGATAGGCTTCACTGAATAGAAACCAGCAAATGGGAAGTAACACCAGCAGATGTAAATCAATAATACTTTTTTTTTTTTGTTTTGCATTTTCTAAGCCTGACTTTGGACGTCTAATCCTGTTCGCTGGCTGTATAATGAAGTGTTGAGTGTTGAGAAAGGTTTTCAACTGAAGACTGTTCCTTTTATGTTAAGAAAAAGCAAATAAAATATGGCAGCTCTTTGATTAATTAAGTAATGTGCCTAATTACTCTTTTAGTTAGCAGAGGAGGAAAAATAATTAATCTGATGAATCTAATGACAAATCTCAGCAAATGAACAATAAATCAAAATATGGTGTCTACAATTTTTTCCTACAAGGATTACATCATAAACATTTTTTTTTCCTGATAAGAGGAATGTTTTCTTTTCAGATCAACCTCTTAATCTTTTCAGATTACCTTCTTTTTCTATCCTTATGCATCTCAAAGTCTTGGCAGCAGCATTTTCTCTTTGACAACAGATTTAAAGAGAATTGTAAACACTGAATGCAAGAGCACAAAACATGCAGCTTTCAATTAGGTGTCTTTAATTGAATTCACATTGATGAAGCTCTTATACTTAGATGTTTTGATCGCTTTCCCCGAAATGTGTTTAGAATATTCTCCTTCCAGGGATGGTGGTGGAAATGGCTAGTTGTGCCTAGTCAGATGTGTCTGAAGTGTAACTTTCATTAGCCTAATGAGACCAATGGTCTGGGGTGCTGAGTATGAAAAGATGATGGATATTCAGCAATATCTGGACTACAGTTTCGGTGATATCTAGGGCTACAGATTTATACTACATTCATAAAGGCAGGTATCAAAAAGAGCCAACAACTTGTTTGGCAAAACCCATGACCTGCGTCATAAACTATGATTGGCTTGAATCATTGTTTATGGAACAAAACAAACTTCAAAACAAGCAAAGTTATCATGGTTTTAAAAATACATTG